AAACATATGAAACCTCTACATTTACCAAAATTAATAAGAAGCAAATTGGAAGTTGTTGCCAAAGATTTTTAGATAAATGGAGTTTTCCCAATTGCTGCAGTGCTTTAAATGGAAAACATTGTCATATACAATGTCCATTGAACAGTGGATCCTTATTCTACAATTACAAACATTTTTTTCTATTGTTTTGTTAGCCGTAGTAGATGCAAATTGTAAATTTCTTTATGTCGATATTGGAACCTATGCAGGGAGATAGCAGTATTTTTTCTAAATTTAAATTAGGAAAACAAATTGAAAATGGGACATTTCCTTTTCCGAATGTTGCAAATTGCCTGGATCAAACATCTTTCTTCTACATTTTCTGATAGGAGACGGAGAGTTCAAATTGTTACCTCGCCTTGTGAAACCTTATCCTATTACCCAAAGTGAACTGGATACAGAAAAACGACAATATAACTACCAGTTGAGTAGATCCCGAAGAACGGTAGAAAGTACGTTTGGAATGCTATCAAACACTTTTCGAGTATTCCATACGCCGATAATGCTTAAACCAAGCACAATTGATTATGTAATACTTGCTACTTGCTGTTTGCATAATATGTTAATAGATGACAAAACCGAAAACATTCATATTAACATCAATACCAATAACAGCGTTCCCAATAATTTAATTTCTTTGGAAAGGAATGGTGGAAATGCTGTTGTAGCAGCAATGCATTTAAGAAACGAATTGTATAATTGTTATAATTAAAAATTATGTTTAAATTAATTATTTGAATGTATTTCATCTTGTTCTTTTTTCATTTTGCTTTCGTCCGTCATAACGTCCACCCGCTGCAATGCTTCGAAACCACATGAACGGACACACGCAGCGGGTAAACGCCAACCGTCGACGCTAGCCGTGACCGCTGGCGTGTCTGAGAAACCAAGTGCATACACTTTTAGGCATAGCATTCAAACGTTGACAACAGCCGTTGTCCGTCGCCGCTGACGTGTGTTCAGAGAAACCAGCGCCTTACAGTGTAACAGCAACAGTGTGTCAACATAACAAAACCACCGTACCTTTTTCCACAGTAACAATTTAATAAGGCTCAAATTATCCATATTTTGTTAATAAACAAATGATAAACTAGTAAACAGCATAGTAGATCCTATGTTATATTAGCATTGCCATCAGCATACAAAGTGTTAGGTTAACAGAACTATTTTTAAAACGTACAGTTTACCAGTTAAACTTACCTCTAGAAGCTAAAATCGCCGTTGCTTTAGTATCATCTACTATATGGAAAAAGTTGTAACTGTTGAAAAGTCTTTTCTGTAGAATCAACATAATGAAGCAAATGACATCCCATGTAATCCCTTCAGAGGGAATGGTACAATCAGTCGAGTTGTCTAAAATTTCGATTATGGACCTCTGTGTTGCACTCAAATAGTTTCGGACGCAAGTGATTCCAAATATCTGAATTAACCAACAAACATTTTTTGGAATATAGGTTGGGTATATACATCCTAATATTTGGAAGGCACATTTAAAGAAAATCACTGCGACATTGAACCCTAAAAGAGCTTGCCAACTGCAAAATAAAAAATATTTATTTCCATCGATAAAAAATCATGTAAAGAAACAAGTTTATAGTAAAATTATGACTAAGGTGTAGTTTTCTATTGTAAAATTATTTTAAAGTACAAAATGCGCTCAATAAAGTTAAAAAAATTCTGTTTTTAATGAAAATCCATATATAATATATTATAAAATGTATTTTATCTTAATTTGTATTTCTATCTAGCGATTTAAATACAGATAATGAGACTCCAGCACGAAGTATGTGGCCCTCGGACTACCCTACAAAACCTATTGTCTTGCTCTCTAAAGTAAAAGATGCAATTAAATCGCTAAAGATAGATAAATTCCCAGTCATTGACACAATACCAGTAGAAATGCTGCAGTTACTGGGTGACAAAGGATAACATATTATCCATTCTATCTGTGTCGCTTCACTACACAAAAAAGGAGCCACGTCCAGATGTGAAAACTCCCATAAATTACCAAATCACTTCCAAATGTACAAAATACCAGGAGAAATGCTGCAGTTAATGGCTGACAAAGGATGACATATTATCCATTCTATCTGTGTCGCTTCACTATACAAAAAAGGAGCCACTTCCAGATGTGAAAATTACCGTTAATCTTCCGGCACGTCATAAAAAAACGGATAAAAAACTTACCTACATTATTAAATACCTTAGGGACAAGCGGAATTTGTAACGGGAAAAGGTACACGTGAGCCAATTCTAAGAACTCATTGAAAAGTAGAAAGAATTTTAAGTATCTATGATAATATATTTAGTTGACTACCAGAAGGCATTCTATTGCGTAAGCTGGATAAAATCTTTAGTTCATTTTACATCGACACACCTGGTGACGCTTATTAAAAATTTGTACCCGTCCAATATGGCAACAGTACGACTATAAGCCAATTCCGAGCAAAGAGAGGGGTTAGAGAAGGATCCGTTTTATCTCTTAACGTATTCAATATTTATGGTGAATATCATGATCATGGCTATAGACAGATTAATTGTTCCTAGAAACGTTCCAAGGATAAAACCAAGAGGACGGTCACCAACTAGATGATCCTACTAAATTCAAAACTCAGCAGATCACTCATCCTACTAAACTCTTAGAGCAGCTGAAGATAGAGTCCAATGGTGAAAATTGATTATAAGAGGGTAAAGGAAGCTGCAGGATTATACAAAATATAAAACAACTGGAAATCAGATATACAGAGAAATTTAGTCTTGGAAATAGAGCAGAAGGATATTTGGACTCATCGAGAAAATAAAGCTCTCTTCTTTAAGTGTCGTACGGTATGCAGCGTGTAGTCGTTCAAGGTGGTTGTCGAATGTACAGATATCCTTCTTTCACTTAATTATCGTAATGGCATCAGTTATGCCGCACCAGTTTCTTATGACTTTGAACCATGAATGTTGCTTTAGCCCAGAGCCTCTTCGACCTTCAACTTTACCCATCAAGATGAGATTTAGAAGATAAGATTTGTTATTGCGTAGAATATGGCCACTTTCGTTGCTTAACGAGCTCTAGCAATCTTTTTTGTAGATTAGCTTTTTTTAGGACCTCATCATTTGTTACATGGTCCACCAATAGAATTCCAGGCAACGTTCTGAGATAGCAACCATATTATTTATTAAGCCTCCACACGATTCGGAGATATCACTTTAAGTAACCAGTTCTCACTTCCGTACATCAGGATGGGGCATATTTAGCATTTCCAGACAAATTCTAAGGGTTAAATGAATGAGGTATTTATCAAATTTAACTCGTGTATATTGGTCGCTATTATGACCGTATCGTCAGCATATCTATGGTTATTATTAATAGGTAGACCAATAATTTTGATGCTTTTTCGTTCTGCTGTGCAAGAAAATATTTTTTCTACATAAATGTTAAACAGTAATGGGGAAAGAAAACAACCCTGTCTTACGCCTTTCCTTATCTCAATTTCTTCTGTGTCTAGGCCGTTGGCAATCCTTAGCTCCGCTTTTTGATTTCAATATACTCGTTAATCATTGTCACGTCAATGGCGTTTTGGTAAGTAATTAATCAATTTTCACTCGGAATACTTAAAACCTTATGGACCATTAACGTAAAATACTTTTAAAGGTTATACACAAAAGAATATATAGAAAATGAAAGAAACAACTACCACAAATAAGTAATCTTGACATACTAGTACTATTTCAGAGATGCAATAAATTAAGTTGTGAAATATCCATACGCTTTTTAGACTATTAAAAAGTATTTAAATGAGTAAGATACGAAAAATAGGATAGGAAATTAAACATAGTATTTTTTTTAATTAATATAGTTTAAAAAATTGAGAAATTAGTTATAAATCATATTGTTAACTTTTTGTTGAATTTGCGGTTAACTCCCCAAAATATAGATAATAAATTAATTTTGGTAGAAAATCGGGTCATCTTTCATTTTCATGTCAAAAAAATTCACTTACTATCGAAGGATTTTCGGAATTGGTCGTAAATAGAAGTCTGATCCATGCCACAAAAATATGAACGCACACAATAGATATCCTAATGAAAATATATTGGTACGGGAAGTTCCAGCCCAAAATACTACAGCTAGTGTTATCCATAAGAAACTTTGAAGAACTGCTTTTTTACAGATGTCCAAGTAGGATCTGAAAAAAATATACATTTCTTAAAATTCAAATTCAAGTGTTATTAGTATTAGTAATAGTAGATACAATAGGTGTATGGTAATAATGCAAAGTATGTAATGTACAATATATGAATGATAGTATACATATAGGGTGGAAATTATTTATGAAAAAAAATTATTTCTGTCCATGTTTTAAAAAATTATAAAAAACGCTAGGACCCGTCGACTTATATATAAATATTTAATTTTTAAACATAAATTCAACGTCTTCCCTGAAAAGAGAAGTGCAACCATCCGATTCCTAAATCAAATATCCAATGCAATGTACGGTTGTGCCATAGCCACTTCCTGCACAAACAACCTCATAAACCAAATGTTTACCCACCTACACATCTAAAAACACATCATACACATCATCACACACACATGCACATAAAACAACATCCATCCTATACACACTTTACCTCCACTCCGCTCACAATTCTAAATAATAAACACATAAATTCCACATCATATCAACCAGTAAACACACAAATTTCCCACAAAACATCCAACACATCACCTACACTGCGAGCACCACACACACTCCTTAAGAGTCGATTAAATATCACAAGGACAGGGGGAGATTAGTTTTCTGTGATTTCCCAATCTCATTGCACAATGATACCTGATCCTAGGTGAGGATATAGCCACAAACATTGTTTCCAACAAACAAAAAAGGCCAACAATCTGAAACGAATCGTTTTTTCCACGGAACTTGTACTTCGTGACAGGCTTGGTTCACTGGGCTGGTTCTTCCGGAAGATCCGGGTTTTTCCACCTCTTCCCTTCTTCTTGTTCTCGGTATCCTACCTTATCCCTCTTCCGATACACTTCTTTAGCGGCGGCGCCCCTAGTCTTGTGAATCCATAGAGGTCGTATGAGAGAAAAATAGCATTTAAACCAAACAAGCACAAGCACAAGCACCCAAACAAACAAACCCATCCTTGAAGAAGCATAGAGCTTAAACAAGGTAAAAACGCAGTAGTCAGTAAACATAAATTTAAATGTAAAGGGTGATTCACGCAAGCCTAGCATAGTGCATAAGCTGTATTTTTAATTGTTCTATACAGTTGTGAGTGAAAAGGTTTATTTCTTACTAACTTGATTTTTCTGTTTATACAATAGTTTAATGATATATAGGGCGGGTTGTGAATTTTTACTGATATTTCTTTTGGTAATGAACTTTTGATCAGTAATTTCAATTTTTCTTATCCTTTATTTTGGTAAAAAGTTATACTACTGTTACTTAATAACAAAAATGGCGTATTTATTTTTGGAGCTGGAAGGTCAGATAATAGAACAAGTGATGGAGTTTGAATATCTAGGCATCATATTATCTAGCTAAAGAAAGCTCGAAACTGAAGTGGAGGATCAAGTGAATAGAGCAAACAGAGCCGCAGGCTGCCTAAATGAAACAATATATAGAAATAAAAATATCGGGAAAAAAAAAACGAAACGCAGAATTTACAAAAGAGTCATCAGAACAAAAATGACATACGCGGCAGAAACAAGACCTGACACAGAGAGGACAAAAAGGATGTTAGAAACAGCAGAGATGAAAACACTTAGAAAAATTGATGACCAGACACTATGTGACAGAGCTAAAAGTAGAATTATACGACATAGATGCAAGGTGGATCAAGATCTGGGTAAGAAGTAGAAGAGTAGAAGAGAACGATTATATAAGCCGAATGACACCAAAAAGAGTAGTAAAGACGGCAAGAGACGGTTCCCCAATAGGAAGACGATTAGTAGGAAGACCACGAAAACGATAGAACGACAACTTACTGGAGGCACATTGACAAACAGACAGAGTTATGTCTATATAAAAAGAAGAAGACTGACGCAAATCAGTCCGTGCTCATCTGTCTAATGGACCGGATGGTCACGTGGTCAAAAAACCTGGAAAATTAGAAAGAGATGCAGGAACTGCTTTGCGTCAGTTTTCTTTGTCGCACTGACGGAACGGGCTGGTATTGCAACGATCAGTCTATCTTGTATTATATGTCTATGCAGTAAACGTATTGAAAACCTACACACTTAACATTAAAATAATATAAAAATATTGTATAAATAAGGATAGTATTAGACGTGTATACTAACCGTACAAAAGTTATGTAGTCTGGTACGGGATTTACAAAATCTTTTTCTTCGGCATGGTGAATGATGCTTTCATTTGATCCTCCTGCATAATCCTTACCAGCGTACCGTTTTTCTATTCTGAATACAACCCACTGTCGAGATACGGCCATTAGTAACATAAAATCGAAAACTAACTTTCGAACCGGTGGGGGTGTATAATTGTCCAAAAGGAATGCCCATTCTTGTAAACTTCTTAGAATCAGATCTGGTACGTTCCACGGATACTCTAAAATGAATCAAAACAATTACAAATTTGTTTTCTCTCGCAAACAAAGCGATACAAGAAAAGAAATTAAATATAGTCGTTTAATAAGGGTAAACAAATAAGAGCAGTTGCATGTTATATGCATTCAACAACATGTTACAAATTAGTAAATTATTGGTACCGAATATTTAAAAAAATTATCTTCTTATTTTGTTGTTACTTTAATCACTTGTACTTGGAAGAGATTAAATATACACGACAAGGATATAAGATAGGAGAAAAGCAAACAAAAATCCTCTGCTATACAGACGATGCAATCTTAAGATATAATAACATTAATGTTTAATTTTTAATTGTTCCACAATTAAGCTGAAACTACAAAAAATAATGAAAACTTTATTCAATAATTCAAAACCTTGAAACAACTCGACATAGTTTTGATTAGCATGTTAAGATTTCACAAGATGTCTTATAACTTACTGATAATTACTATTTAAATGGGAATAAGCCACAATTAAAGGTTAAAGTAAGTTTATTGACGTTTCAATTTCCACTTGGGAAATCGTTCTGAAAATACAAACATTAGTTACTGTTTGCATTTCTCTTTAAAATGCCACAAGAAAATAGCTTCAGAGCAATAACTTAATGATAGAAACATCATTTTAAGTTTTCTCGTATAATGTGTAAAAATTTGACCTTATTTGAAAATCTAAAGGAAGTGAATTATTTGATTTGATTTTCCTTCTACTTTCCAAAAAAACATTCGACCATAAATATAAAATGTATTTTAGATCAACATTCGACCGTTTTAAATCGTTTTTGTCCAAAAATTTACTAAAATGCAGTTACATTACAATATTTATATTTATGTTATTTGCAAAAACCTTTAACATTTATATTTAATGTATAACTATACAAAAATTTTTACCTATACATAAACTTGGTGGTAATCCAACGGCATGGAAATATTGGAATGGTATCGAGATAGCTATAAACACCAAATAAATAAGCCATACTTGTGATAATATCCTTCTAGGCAGAGCGAATAATATTAAAAGCCAGATGCTGTGAAGCAAGGAATATAAATCCATTCTGACACCGATCAACACTACCATCAATATAAAACTGATCTAAAACAAAAATAGTAGTTATGAGATAGTTATGAGTATATATATAATATAATATATATATATATATATATATATATATATATATATATATATATATATATATATTCATCAAGCTAAGTAATAAAAGGAAAAACACCAACCGATAACTTGTGATAATTTTTGTGGTTATAAAATCTGAAACTGGGATTTATTCCTTCGAGATGTTGTGAAAATCAGTATGAACAATATTATATTTTTACGTCCGACTGAAAGTGAAAAACGTGAAGAAAATGTTGGCGAAAAAAAATGTTGAGATAGTAAGCGTATTCGAATGGAAATAGAGTACTACATCTTACAGCTTCCAAAATTTGGTCGATAGCCAAACAGTATTCGCAGAAATAAACAGTAGCGAAAGTGAACATTGTATTTATTTTATAATTTACATAATTTCAAAATGAATAAGATTGCGACGCAAACAAGATTCATAACGAATTTGCAGATTATCCAACATATTTATAAAGAGTGGCTGCTGCAGTCGTTGAAAATAGGTTCTAATCGTTTGTACTAATTCTTCAATATCTGACGGCGGAACTTTTGACTTAAATAGTGATTCCTTCAGCATATTAAAAATGTATGCATCAGGTTAACCACCGACCAAATTGTTATGCTAAAGTTATTACAAAATAACAGTTACGAACAAAATCTAGGTTTGCATATACTCTTTATTGATGTTAAACAGGCCTAAGACTTCATCTCACGAAATGACCTATACAAAGCAATGCGATCACTAGAAACTGATATGATTAGTTAAAATGACGTTAACTAATACAGTCAATAAAGACATGATAGGAGAAAATCTTTAAAATCACTTTATCGTCAATAGATGATTAAAACAGGGAGACATATTGTCAACAGACTTAGGTATGTAGAAATGAGAGGGGAAAATGCAGAAGAAAATAAATGGATCACTTTAAGGACGAATGAGAGAGAACATATTATATTTGAAAAGGTAGAAAAATTTGAGTACCTTGGAGTAATAATTACAAATAGAAGAGCAAAGAGAGAGAAATAGATAAACAGTTGTTGGTAGCAAAGCAGTAGTATCATTAAACGCACTGTTGGAGGCAAAAAACGTGTCCAGTCCAGGGCAGTCATGATTTGAACTTATGAAGCAATGGTGAGACCAAAAAAAGTTAGAGATTTGGGGGACGAACATCTTGGGAAAAGATTTTGGTGGTACAATAGAGGCTAATGGAGAATGGGATAAAAGAACAAACCAGGAGCTAATGGAGATGTATAAGAGGCCCAAAATAACACAGATAATTAGGGCACAGAGAGTTAGAGGCAAATTAGAAGAAAGAAAATGTAACGTACAGTGTATAAATGAATGGACACAAAATAGAAAAAAAGAATGGAATAACCAGATAAGCAAAATGGAGGAGACCCGTGTCGTCAAAGTACCAAGAGATGTCACCAATCGGAAGAAGTATCGAACGACCGCGCAAAAGATGGAGTGACAACCTTCCATAAAGGTATTAACCGCCAATGAACCAGCAGAATTACTTATAAAGAGGAAGCAGAAGAGTTAGAGGTTGGGACATGTTTTACGAATGCCAAAATAAAGAAACGTTCTAAGAGTTCTGCAAGCAGGAGAAGGGACTGGAGAGAATAAATTAAGGACCAGAAAAAGTGGAAGAAACTAATCAAAACTATCGAACCCAAGGGCCTCTAAGGCCTGTCTTCTTCTAAATGTGCCTATCTTTTTCAGATGTTGGCGATCATATTGACCCATCTTATATTCTATTCACAACAGCTCGAAATAGATCAGTTGGCGTTAGACCAGTCCTCTTCCTAAAATTGGCCAGCCAGGATATACGTTTACGTCCAGGGCCTCTCTTACTCTCAATCTTGCCTTGCAGAATCAACTGTAGAAGTCGATATTTATCATTACGCATCATGTGGCCGAAGTAAGCCTGTTCTGTTCTGTCTTTTAGGGTGGTAATAATTTCTTTGTCTTTCCTTGGCCTCTGGAGAATAGTTATGTTACTTGTGTGGTGTATATACGAGACCCTCAACATACGTTGGTAGCATCACATTTCAAATGCCTCTAATCGTTTTATGGCATCTTCTGTAAGGCTCCAGCTTTCTTCTCCATAGAGGAGGCCACTAAATACAGAACATCTAATAATTCTTATGCGTATATTAATACTTAAAGATAAGATGCGGAGAATCTTCCCAAGGCTGTTGAAAGAGCTTCTGGCTTATTCAATACGAGTTTTTATTTCGTTGCTGTGATATAAGTTTGAGATTAGTCTAATATCCTTACCATCGAATCCTGATGTTTTTTGGACATCTATTAGTTTCCCATGTGGGACTTTATATCAAATCAATAATAATCAAATAATAAACTAAGGCCAGTAGTGCTGTTGTGCAGTAGTGTGCAGTATGTATATATATATATATATATATATATATATATATATATATATATATATATATATGACATTATTGGAGGGCCTAACTGCCAATATCCAATCGTCGAGAAGTAACGCAAACTCCAAAGTATATTTTAAGTACACCTCTAGCCTCAAGAACCGCTGGATATTTGGAAAAAAATAGATTTAATGGTTTTTAACTAATGAAAAAATTAGTAAATTTTACAGATAAGTAAAAATTGATGTTTTACCTCTACTCCAAATTTATAAAATCCATAATTTGCCATATACTTTGCAAAATGTCTTAAATCTTTATCAGCATCATCTCTGGTTATTCTAGGAAACATGAAAAATCTTCTCTCTGTGGAACGACCTCGTGACAATCGATAATTAAACTGCCGCACGTCAACAACTTTCCACAGTGTCATTATCACTATAAATATAATATTCCAACGAACGATTTCTGGTAGGTTTTGATCTATTTCTGAAAGTTTGCTAAAACCAAGCCAAGGTCCGTTGTTGACAATGGTTTGGTTTATATCCTTATTATTGTGAACCTAAAAATTAAAAATAAGATTAATATAATTTTCTTTTTATAATTAAGGGGACAGTCTCATGCGAAACTTCCAAAAAATCAAAAAAAATTTTTTTACATATATCGCTTCCATTTACATTCAAAAACTCCCTCCTAAAATTTTAAAAAGAAATTCCCACTAGAATATAAGTTATAGTTATTTTATTAACGTCAGATACGCACGTATGAAAACCGGTTTCTCTTCTTTTGGGTATGTATTAGTGGTTTATTTTTATATAGTATGTATATCTGTATAACGTTTGGCAGTTACTATACACATTTGGAATTTAAAATCCGGAACATAGGATTTTTTACAAATACTAAGATTCTCTGCGTTGCAATTAACCAGTGTAAATTTCTTTATAACGTCGCGATGTTTTATAACTAATTTATTTGTTCCACTGGATTACTATTACTTCTCCTCAGCGGTTTGTAGTAGCGTATATGGCACGCCGACAGTATTGCTCCGTCTACCGATTTTTCCTGAAAGTCCGGTTTTGTGCAGATAATAAATATTGTTTTATTAACATCAATTTTGTTTGTGTTCATTAGGTATTATTTAAGTTATAAAATTTATACTTAAATACATTTATTATTCCAAATATTGTTTATAATTTCAAATTAAAAAGAGTGTAATATAATTAATTTATTTTTAAAATTCCTTTTTATTTTTAATTTTAGAAATCAACTTTTTTTCACGCCGTTTTGGCAATAAAACATAACCATTTTTTTAGTTATAAAATATTTTCATATCTACATTTATAAATAAGTAGATATGTTTTCGTTAAATTGACATGCGATCTAGGTGTGTTCCGTTTTTACACTTACACTGTCAGCATCGCGGCGTGAATTGAGACTCCAGTCGAACTAATGAATTAATTATAAAACATCAAATCAAAAAGAAAAAAGCTTTACAAAGCCATTTACAACAACTGTTGGATGAAGAGGGACCTCAATATTCAACAGGAATGGCTGATTAAACGTGAGTATAAAGTTATCAGCCTTTAATTCACGAACATTATGAAAAAAAAAACTTTAAATGCTTTTTTCTCAAAAGTAACATTTTCAAACTGGTCAGACACTTTTCTCCGAACCTTCTTAACCGATTTTAAAAAATCAACAATTTTTCAAATGTATATACAAAAGACTAGATGATAAACCTTTAAAATATTTAAAAACCACCCCCCTTTTATTATATATGGGTAAATCCACCCAAAAACATAGCGATTTTTTCGACTTTTTTGAAAAAAACTCGTATAAACTCTTCAAAATAATACAATTTGCATATTTTAAAGGTTTATCATCTAGTTTTGAGTCTCACGAATACAACCCATTTTGAATTTTTTGAATATCTGTTACAGGTGACCCACAAAGTGTCTTACCACCAAAAACGCACTTTTTACTACACGCCATCTACAGGACACCAATGAAGTTAAAATCGCTATTAAAATTTTTTTTATGTACTTCAAGACTTACTTAATCATCTCCAAAAGGAATTATGTTAATAAATATTATAGTTTTTTTTCTGCTTTAATTTTAAAATGTGTCTCTTTTTTTTTAATCGCATGAGACTGTCCCCTTAAAAAAAACTCAAATTGCAAAACACATGAGCAAACATTTCGTTTCCTCGAAAATCACATCAATAGGAGCATCCACGGACATCAATCTCTCACTCAATCTCAACCCAGAGACTCAGACCCTCATCATACGAAAGATTTTTATTTATTCCTTATATCAAAGGTGTCACTGATAAAATCGACAAAATTCTTAAGGACAATAAGGATAAGGACAATATTTACCCCCCAAAAAAACTTTCATCTCTTGTCGGATCAATCGAAGACAACATTCCAAAAGAACAACACGGAGTTTATGAAATTCCTTGTGTAGACTACTCCGATCCTATATAGGCCAAACAAATCATAGAATCCAAAATAGGATTTATGAACATTTCATTTCTGTTTGCAATTCCGATTCAATTTCAGTTCTATGTCCACACTATCTTTATACAGGTCACAAAATTGATTTTGAAAACTCCAGAATCATAGCCCTCATTCGCTTCTATAAACCAAGAATTTTCCGAGAAGCCATAGAAATTGAAAAAAGACCAAATTATCTGTAATTAAATCTTAATAAAAGAAATAGAGGCATACAGTTACCTTAGACATGGAGACCTCTCAACTCCACTCTCAAATCAAAATCCTACTGCCAGATATGTTCGCGTCAACCCCCGCGCCAATCCCCGCGCCAATCACCTCGCCCCCCTCGTCACCATTGACGGTATAAATAAACCTTCCCCTGTTCCCAGTGGCAGTAATTCATTGGTTAGTGATCAATGTAGTAGTGTCTGGGAGCTCGGGAGACTGATACCTCGGAAGCCATCAGAGAAAAAGAAGACATCTTAGGTCTAGGTTTAATTATGTATATACAGATGAGTCCGCTGAAGCATGGAGTTCAGTTGGTAATAGATGATTATTATAAGGAGAAATCATTGTCATAGGATGGTCGCAAGATAGTTGACCGCTAATCCAAAAGGGTAAATAATTACAATGGATTTTTAAATAAAATTTCAATTTATTTCTTTTCTTTTTTCGAATGTTGGATGAGTAACCATCTCCATAAGAAATGTGAATTGGAACAAGTATCAGTATCAACAATATTGATATAACCCAATACAGAAACATGAGAAATGCGACAATTGATGAATACGATCCCACACAGCGATAAAGGCAAAATATTGTGACAAATGACAGCACACTAATTAGATTTTCAGTTTCTCATGTAGTTTTCATTACCATAACATTTAATTGCAGGTGTAATTACAGTGTTTTTTAAATTATTTAAATTGTGTAAAACAACAAAAAATATTGAATTAGAATATGGAATTGTAAACTTACCGTACAATTGACATCCCATGATTTGTCATTAATATATGATATTTGGTAAATCATGCGTCCCAATATAAGTGCAGAAACGAAAACAGATGTAAAATATGTTGTAAACATCTGCATACTTCGGCCAAAGGTGAACGAGAACGTTATAAGTATAACTATGATAAAGTACAGAGCTGCTTTGTCGTATATACACATCAACATAGCAAAGAATAGTACTATCTTCAACATATGTATTTCCAAAAATAGGAAGAACACATGCTTTGTATACAAAAATGCCTTCAACAGTTTTTCATACCATTTTGCCATTATCACAGATGGCACAACTAAAAAATAAAAAGATTTTATAAAATATAAACTATTTTAATTTAATAAAATTTAAATATAGCAATAATCATCGTGCAATTATGTTTTCTTAATCTATATATTTTATTAAAAACTTAATTGATAGCAATAATAAGTAGCTACACAACATAATGTACTAATTTGGAGGGTGTTTGAAGTAGACTACAAATATTAGATTTATCTCTGAAAATAATCAGATGTTAAATATGAAAATTTGCCCTTCCATACAACCGTTTACACTTCTAAAATATTGACAGTTCTTTGTCACCTTCGGTAATACCGGAAGTCGTAATCAATTTTGGTACTTTTAACACACTATATTTTATTTTAATTATAGATTCTGCGTGAGTATAATTTGATAAACTCATCTGTTTACAAAATAAAATCTCTTGAAAATGTAGACAAAAATGATATTTTTTAGCAATATTTTTATAGGAATTTATAACGGAAAAGATTGCTAAATAAAGCACGTAATTTTTACAAATTTAAAAACAGAATAAGATAGTAATCTTAAATTAAACACCTTATATTTAAAAAAAATTCTCACAAAAAACAAAAAAAATGTTCATCAAAATAATGAACTAATACTAAATAATAATTACTGATTCTTATATTATAAGTAAATACTTTGTAGCTTTATCCTAGTTTAATATGCATTTGGAAATTTGGACAACCCTCAGTGCCTTTTAAGCAACAATAGAGTTGATAGCCAAGATACAAAAATCATTAGGCATTTATAAGAATATTCAACATTGCACGTAAAAACAGAAGAAAAACAAATAAAAAAAAGGTAAAACATCAGAGAGGGATTAGATTTTCTCTTACCAAAGCGTATTTACTTTAGCCCTAGAAGATACGTTTCGAACTTTAGAATGAAAAAATAAAGGAGTAACATAGACGGCGAAAACCTGAACCACCTAAGATTTGTTGATGATGTTGCGTTAATAGCAAACGACAGAGAAGAATTGCAGGAAAAAATATTAGACCTAAATACAAAATTAAAAGAAATGGGACTGTCAAAGCTTAACTTAGAAGTTGATTTAAATAAAATATGTTCTTTAGCATGGGCAGCATTTGGAAGATTAAAAAGTCTTTAAAAAAACACTTTAAATATAAAAACTTTTAATCAGTATCGGTCATGATATACGAAACAGAAACATGGGCTTTTAACAGCAACATAGACCACAAAATTTAAGTGACTCAGAGAAATATGAAACGGAGAATGCTCGATATTAAGCTCAGCGCGTATCCAATGAAAAATGACTGTTAATATGTATTGCAAATTTAATTTTTACTATGTAGCATGCAGAAAATTCCTTAAAAACTATCTAATATTCAAGTAATAAAAAATTTTCTAGTACGCCCCTGGGATATATATAAAATTTGGTGTCTTTGTTTACACTCGAAGCGTAGCGAGACGGAAGAAGCGGGTACACCGATCGAGGTCAAGTCGAAGTAAATTCTAGTTTCAGACTTGGAAGAATCGTTGAATAGTCGGAGCGTATGTAAGTATCAGCCTCAAAATCTAGCAAATTTGTTAAAAAAAAGGTGATTTATACTTAAAGTAATGTGTCACTTCAGATAAGAGTAATCAGCTTTTTATTTGTAAGCCGTCTCTCATCTGAGATATTTGTAAAACGGCGATTACAACAAGAATAACCGCATGTTTCCATTTTCCCAGCAGCTTCCATCCTCGTTTTGTTCGCCTCTGGTTGTCATCTCAGATTTTCTCGCAGTTTGTAGATAACTTTGTTTGTGTGGCAGAGAATCTAAGTCCAGTTCCCACCCCCAGAAATTTTATTTTTTAGTTTACAACCCAGAAATTTTAGTGAAATAATAGTAATAATAATTGCTTTCATAACAACTAAAGAAATTGTAATAATTAAAATTATATGTGTTAGGGCGTGGCCCAGCTTGCTGACATATTAATTGTTCTCAGTTTTAAGATTTAGTATTGACATATGACAGTTAGCACTATTTTTGACATTTGCCAAATATCTAATCATATTTGAGATTTTTATTTTGTTTTAGAAAAGGTTAACCACTATGCTAGTTTCATTTAAAAAGATAATTTTTTATTTGTAATAATTTATTTCTGCTACAAATTGTCGCCCATTAACAATTGTAAGAATTGTAGTATCTCCAACTTCAAGAGTTTGTAAACTGAAAGGTAAGTTGTAAGGTTGTAAGTGTAATTTTTTTCCTAAACCATTTTGTTTATTTATTTTAAAAAAGTTCCTAACCTCTTTGTGTTTTTAGGAAGGAAGAACCTTTTCTTTCATCCAGCAGGAAGTTTCCTCAAAGCGGCGTCCTTATTTCAAATAGGTAGAGGACCTTCTTGTGTTTTGTTTGTTCCAGAAGATTCATGTAGCCACCCCTTTATTTCATTTTTTGTAGTTAGTCCAATCCGACCCCCTTGCCATTCACTTATCCACGACCCAGTTCTCCAAATAAACCCTGAGAGCCGTTCGCACAAGTTTCGATTTGTTTTTCTTGCCCTATCTCCACCCCAATAATTTCTGTTCCCAATTTTCAACCCCTTCTAGTAATACCCTATGTGTTAGGTAAAATATTCGTTACAACTGGTGTTAGTAGTGTTTAAATACTTTAGTCGTTTAAATTATTGTAGTCAGATCCAGACTAAAAAAAGTGAAGTATTTGTTTTTAGTAAATTCGCTACATTGCACATAGTTGGATTAATAGGTAATTAAGTTTTAACATTTTGAATGAAAATTATCAACTTATATATTTGATAAATCAATGATCGCGTACTTATAAAGTTTTCAACTAGATACATTTTGATACAAAGTCTGCCAACATTTTACGCGGAATCTGAAAATATAATACGGGGATTGCTATTATTGTGGTCTACATAAAACAAACTATATACGAAAATTCACAACTCACAAAAATACATTACCCATAATAAATTTACGAATAAAGACATCATAGTGGAAATCAGAGCTTTCTTTTTTCCTAAAATGTTGCACAAAGCTCTTTATCAATCCTTCTATTTTCCTCATGATTTTTTTTTTGTATCGCCGTAATTAATTTTTAAATATCGAAGTTTATTCGTATTTTGTAACTTATATTTGTATTATAACAATGATTCGGTTATAATTGAATGGAGTATCATTGCCATTGATATTAGCCAGTGAAATCTTTTATTAACAGTAATTTTCAAACGAGAACTACGATCTGAATATGTACTAAATTCATGTGACATAAATATACACGGATTTGTCTTTTACGTTACATGTATTAATGTCACGTAAAAAGAATAAATTTTAAACTTGCATGTATTTTGATGGTTTTCGTGTGAGAGCGTAATTTAGGTTTTATTGATATTGATTTTAGAATAAAAGCTGCAAGCTAAAAATAATATATGTACAGCTTGTATAAAACAAAAACGTTAAAAATAAAATATTGAATGATAATCTGAACTTTTGATACAAAATATGGTACACATTTTAAAAAACAATTGAAAAAAATCGAGTTTTTAAAACTTTCGTCCATTATTTTCTTTATTCTATAACTTTACATCTTATCTACTTACTTTGTCTTGACACATATACTACCTTTATCGTATTTTCTGCTTTGTCTTAAACCTAGTATTTAGTTATGTATCAAAGTTTAAATTAGACCTTTTAGAGAAACATAATTGAAATCTAAAAATTCAGAATTCTAGCATCTCTATTTTCGTTTGTATATATTAAAACACCGAAGAATATTTCAATGTATTTCTATTTCCTAACGTACACGTTAAAACACCAAAATATTTTTTAAATCATTTGCATCGTTGGAATTGATAATGTAAACATTTCTGGTTTGTATATAATAATTTTTAATTGCCTCCTTTTGATCATGAAGCCGCTTTAGGATATTTAGTGCGTCAAACAAATAGAAATTTTTCCGTTTATGCTTTGTTTATACCGAGTTGGGTGAACGATTTTTAAAGATTATGATATCACTATCGGTAGAGCCGGTGTCAAGGGCAGTTGGTTTCGTTTGTTTAGTCCTAATTTTCATCAAATTCGTAATGGTTTTTCATTATTGGTTTTTTCTTATCGGAAGTAGTGAAGTTTGGTAGCATGTGTAACTAAAGTTAAAAGTTGGAGTAAAGATTTTGACGTGTGCTCGGCTGTGTATTCTTCAAAAAGCCGGCAGATTTTGTTTGTGGAACAAAAATCAAAGGAAATCAAAGGTAAAGTGGCAGTTTTATTGAATTGATCTCCGATTTGTTATATGTGTTGTATTGTGTCCTAAATGGAAGATTTGTAAGCAGTGTTACAACGATATAAGAGGTCCACATGGTTCCAAGGAGTGTTTGAGAGGCCAAGCTTTAAAGAATGCAACTTTTTAATCCGAAGTCCGATAACCAAGTGCTCAACTTCAACAGAGAATCGTCTATTTGTTTTTCCTTGATCATTTCAGACCAAATTGTAGCTTGTGAGACGCATTTGTGTTGTTTTTCAGTATTTTGAATCCAGCCAACCCCAAAACTTTTAAATCAAATACAATAGCCAGTGATATGAGGTACTTTTTTTATTTAACATTTTCCACAGTAAAAATAGACATTTTTCATTAATAATTGCTTTTTATATTTTTTAGGAAAGAAAAGCCTTTCTTTCATGAAGCAGAGAGATTTTTGTAAACGGCGTCTAAAATTTGCGTTTAAGAACCTTCTTTTGTTGTGTTGTCCAGGAAATCCATATAAGTACTTTTTTTATTTTCTTCCTTTGTAGTTAACCCTTTCCACTCCCTTTTTTATTCACTTACTCACGATCCAGCTCTCTAATCAAACCAAGAGTAGCCGTTAGCAAACGTCCCGGTTTGTTTTGCTTAACCTATCTACACCCCAGTAATTTCAATCCCCAGTTTTCAACCCTCTATAAGTAATACCCTATGTGGTGGGCAATATAACCGCTACAGAATGAATGGTTTTTAGATATACGCAGTTCTTCTAAAATATTAATAGCCTTTTACCACTTCCGGTTATACCTGAAGTTGAGTAAAAATTAATCCTGGACAAAGGCTGTCCCATGATAACTCTTAAGAATTCTCTCAATATAAGGTTATGCTATCTTATATCGAGTTTTTTTACAAAATATGGTCCAATTTTATATTGGAACAGTGTCTGATTTGACACCCTTTATCTTTACACGTAATTAAATTGCTAACACGACAAAAGTTCTTGAGTATCGCTCATTTTGATAAATCTTTTGAAGCTTGATATATCAACAGACGAAACAAGGAACGCACTGAAGAAAATGAAAAGAAATAAAGCTCCGGCAGTAGATAATGTCATTATAAAAGCTGTATATGTCTATGCTAAAGAGAAACACATACAGATGGCACTGTACACTTACAATTTATTATACAAAATGGGTGATTCAAAAAAACCACGAAAATTACCGACCCACAAATATATTAAACCACCTCGACAAGTTATTTACAAGAATAATAACAAGTAGACTAGGAACAAAATTTCATTTTTGCCAACCTAACGAACTGACGTTTTTAGAAAAAACTTGGCACTAACGACCACTTCCATTGCATAAAAGGGATTATAGAAAAATCCATAGAATATTACCGACCATTGGTACTAGCTTTCAAAGAATTTCGCAAAGAGATAACAAGACACGTTATCTCCCAAACTCTACGGCCGTTCTGGAACATGATTTCAAAAAATTGGAGTGAGAAGCCAAAGGAATCAATGTCGACGGCGAAATGCTGTTCCACTTGCGATTTACGGACATTGATCTGATAAGAGATAACTTGGATCAAAAGAGATTGGAACTATGTTTACTGAGTTAGATCTCGCATGAAGGCTTTTAAAAAAAAAGACGTTCGCCCAATGTATACTCTCAGTCATGGCACCGAAATATTTTCCTGAAGCCAGGCCACAGCAATCAAACTCGGAGTGGCCAAAGAAAAATGGAACGGTCGTTACTTGGACCACATCTCAGAGACAGGTTCATAAACAAAGAAATAAGAAGAAGAGCAGGAGTCACAGATGTCATAGAGTGCAATCATGGCTGAAGTGGCACTGGGCGAGCCATGTGACCGGAATGAATGAAGGGCGGGGACCGAAAAAATTACATTGTGGAGACCAAAAATACACAGCGGAAGCAGGGGTAGACTACCTACACGATGGACAAACGACGTCAAAATAATCGCTGGGAACTGGCTGCAGGAAGCTCTAGACCGACAGAACTAAAAGATGTCGATGTTGAACTGTGAGAAATTACAAAGTAATTACTTATCGTATATGTGAGGGAATCGTATTTGTTGCGGTATCACGCATGCTTTATATCAAGTAATCACTTTATAAAATTGAAACTTGGATAACTATTTTCAAGTTGTAACATATGAGTATATCATTAAAAATTTTTCAGCTATCGTTAATCATGAAAACTATAATTAATTTTAGTAATTTCACTCTTATTACACTAAACATTTAAAAGTTTAACAGTAAGAATACTCACTCGTAAGATCTTGCTCGGAATAGTATTTAGAAGTCGATTCCCTGCTTCTGTCCATATAAGCTCCGCCCTGCATAGAACTTTCTTCTAAGCTTTCATTTCGTACCACATCTGATTCGGGTTTATCTGGTTTAGGAGGTGGAGTGCGTTTGGGGTCTGTAAGTTTCATGAAATCGTTGTGGAAGTAATGTAACTGTATAACGGTTACAATTACGAAGAATGTGGGTGTCACCAGCCTTACGAATAATTGCTTCGTCTTATATTGTTCTAATCCTATATCGTGTTGCCTAAAATAGTTTATTTTGTAAAATTTATTTAATATAATGGGTGATTACAGTTGTCACAAATACGTCGGCAGTTGTCGAATATATTAAAAATTATGCCTGAAAGCAACCAAAACCTTGCCTGAAAAAATACTTTTTTCTGCTTGAAAAAAATTGAAAAAAACCAGAACCCAAGTGTTCTTACTATTTAATATTTTCACTTACGGAGGCATTCATTACATTAGACGTAACATACAGATACTGATAAACTCACAGACAGGAATAGTGCATATTTTGGTCTTTGTTTGATTTCTTTAAAACCTTTTGCAAAATTTATTCCAAATACAAAAATTAAATATTATGTTTAGCCACAATGACTGCCAATAATGGAATATAGCCACAATTGACTGTAATGATAATTTCGTTTTTAACCAGCTAATATTTGACGTTCCGATTTTTACTCCTGACATCGTTTTCAAAAAAGATTATTTTAAAAATGTGAACTGTGATTATAACAAAAAGTTGTTTAGCGGTTGTTTTTCAAACTTGACTTACTTTTCAAGTAAGTCACTCGTCAGTCAGAAAATAAAACATGCAATATATTTGTTTGTGAGTAATATCACCAGCTCATCTTATACCCCAGTCTGTCTGTGAAAAAATAATCGATTTCACGTAAAAATCTTATACAGGTTTTGGAATGTTGAAATAAAAGGTACATGATGGATAGCTGATGACAAATCCTTGAAGACATACATAGATTTTGATTTGTTTTTTTTTTAACAATCATAAAAAGTGAAAAAACATATTTTCCTAATGAAATGTTTCTTATATATTTAGAGAAAAATTCATTCACGAACTGGCCTTAATTGCGAACGGACATGTTTTATTTGAATTCCAATAATACATGTTTTTGTTAAGTAGGCGATTAGCGTATACTTTGTTATGTTTAGTGACAAGAAACATTAATAGGCCAGTAGTAAGTAAACCTTTGTCGAGCAAATATTGATATAATTTCTATAAAATAAATATATTTATTGTATTTCCAATTTACTTCTTTACTACCACTCGAAAACCCATCTCCTACCACAAGCAAAACTCAACGATCTTACGCAGCTGCCATTCTCTCAAAAGCTCTTCTACCCCCTTCTCCTTCACGTGATCAAGCTACCATAATGTCCTCCGCTTCCCAACACTGTTATTTTCAATTATATTAAGGCAATCAGCACAATTGTTAAGCGAAAAAATGTTCATTTCGTGTCACTCGTTGATCATTGGAGCATCCGTATGTATCTATCTTCCTCTGAGTAAGTTGATAATTTTTTAAAAACTATTCGAAGTACTACAATTAACTCTCAAGCTATACCTATACACAAACTTATCTCCCCATCAAAAATAATTTTAGTGTCTAATGTCAGCCGTTCGATCCCACTTGCGTTATTGAAAAAGCTCTCTCTGATCTTAGATTAAATAACATTACACATCTCACTCATGTCAGATGCGGTACAACTGATGATGCATATACTCACGTTATGAGCTTTGGAAGGGTAACTTATATAATTTTGCAACGGACAAACTTTGGTTGTCATTGTTCATGAAAATACTCCGCATAGAATATTTATATCGACAAACAAATTGGAATGCTTTATTTGTAAGCAGCCGAATCACAGTGCCGACATCTGCTCCAATATATCCAGTTCTATTTCCTCGCAACCACATGAAAATGTATTGATCATATCTGCCACATTCCTCATATTGATTGTATCGGTAAAAATGCGCAAAATTTTACTGATGACTCTCATAAGTTCCTTCCCACCACGTTCATATCTGCACAGTATCCCCAAACCTGGTGACAAAAGACCTCACTCCAACGATATATACCTGGAAACTCCACCCCCCATTTTACCAGAATCCCTTAGTTTTACGATCCAAATACTCTAGCCTCTTCTGAAGCCATTACATCACAAATTATTCAAAAAACATCCATAAATAAAACTAAAACATTCAAACTAAAGCTCACACCTCATTCTTCCTTCAAGAAACGCAACTAACAGCTTTTCTTGAGAACAGTTTGGTAATTCTGAACTTTTAATAGAAACGTACAAATTCCCTCTCTTCTACAAGATTAAATAAGATCTATAACGCTTTTGATGGACGTGTCTTAAAAAATTATTTAACTCATCTTTTGAAGAGTCTTGTGTCGAGAACAAAATTGAATGTAAACTGTACCCAGACTCTTACACATTTTCTGGAGATCTTACTACCGACGAATGCTACTCCACTGACTCCTCCTTAATAAATAATTAATCCCACTACATCATTTAATTTTTTTCTTATAAATAAAGGGTTCACTATTCTCCAATTGAACTGCGATGGATCTATCCTCGCGTAGGAAGAATACAAAAACTTATTCCAATTTACAATTCTGACTAGGTGTTTTCAAGAGACTAATTTTAAAATGAATCATTGTGGTCGCCTAAAAAAAATTGATCATCTCATACGTAATTACTGTTCTAGAGCCAGTGATGGTGCATCGATATTTGCTTCAAGCGATATATACTCTTCTCTTCTTCCTCTTACCACTAACCTTGAAGGTGTAGTAATTACTGCATGATGACCAACCAAACTTACTAAATGTACTCTGTATATTCCTCCAGACTATAAATTAAAAGAAGAATTGGTTGATCTAATTTTTCAGCTTCCCCAAAAATTCATGTTTATGAGTAACTTTAATGCTCATAGTACTATGTGGGGATCCAGCCGGACATTTGGAAGAGGTAAAATTGGTAAAAAAAGTTTTAAATGTATCTGGTTCTTGTCTGCTAAATCCGTCCTCAAATACACACTTCTCATCCAATACTTTCTCCGCTATAAATCTTAGCATCTGCGAACCTAAATCTCTTTCTTTCCTGGAAGATTTGCGATGATCTTCACGATAGTAATCATACAAACATTATCCTTAAACAAATAACCGACTGTATAACTTTAACGGCTGACAAGTATGTTTGTAAAAAAACGTCATCTCTCACCCACAAAACGGTCCCTTGGTGGAATTTGGCACACGAAGAAGCTATCCGCAAATCCAAATTCGCTCTCAACAAATTGCGCCTAATAATATTCCTGCCAAGCTTATACTTAAAATAAAACTTAAAGCAAATACCAAATATATCATAAAACAAAGTAAAAAAACTTCTTGGCAACATTACGTCTCATCCTTAACAATTCATACCTGCCCAAGTCAGGCCTGAAACAAAACAAAACATATACTCTATGAACTAAACTTAGCTTTATCCTCCTTTAGAAGCAATGCAACAGGCACTGATAACATCGCATACATTTCCTTAAAAAAGCTCTCATCCTAAAAAAGACAGACAACATCTGCTTCTATTATAAGCTACCGCTACATCAATAATCCTTCCAACCACATTTGCCATCTTACTACCTCTGTTCCTGATTACTCCATTAGCAATTTACACTTGCCTATCTCTTACCCCGCCCCTCTCTGGACCAAACAGCTCGCTTTATTTAACACTTCCCTTAACATTTACAACAAATATGACACACCTCCTTCTTTTACAAAGGAAGTCTTCCTAGAGATACTAGACAAAACACCTTTTGATTTAGTTCTTTACACTGATGTTTCCAAAAATTGTTGCGCTGTAGGATGCGCAGTTACTACTTTAAAATATCTTTAAAATATTATAAGTTTCACTCGTTTGCCCGTATCATGCAGCATTCACACAGGAGACTTTTGAGTATCCTCCAAGCCTTTATAAAATTTATTTCCAGTTTATTAAAAAATGTAGCAATTTGTACCGATTCCCTTTCCTCCATATTCTCATTAAAATCTATATTTACTGTTTATGTATTATTTACTAAGCCTACGAATTGCCATCTAAGATTGACAAATGGCTACTTAATGTTCACCGATGTACGTCCAACACATCAAAAGTGCAATTTTGTCCTTCCGTAAACTATATATTAACGGTCTGCCAACAGTACACTAGCTATGCCCGGAAAAATAACTTACGAGACATCGCTTGCAGATACTCTAAACTATCCAAGTGAGTACACTAAAGTAGTACAGTTGCTAAAATGTAGAAATTATATATATATATATATATATATATATTATATATATATATATATATATATATACATCGGTTTAGAACGTCTTTCGACGTTGTCCGATACCTAAACACCACCTCTTCCTATCTTCGCAGTCGTTTGTTGTTAAATTTCTTTCGCTCATGGACTTGTTTACGCCGTGTTGCCATTCTAATCTGGGTCTTTCTCTTTTCCGTCCTAACTTAACCTAACCTATCGGTTGCCATTCTACTACTTTTTTGGGGAGTCTTGTTGCTGGCATCCGTTGAACATGCCCATACCACCTTAATTGTTTCTTCTCTATATCTTGAGTTATATTTCCTTCTATTCCCATACGTTGTTTTATTACATCATTTCTGATTCGGTCTCGTCTGGAAATACCTAAAGATCTTTTCGTTGCATCCATCTCTACTGCTTCTATTCGCTTTTTGTTCTTTTCACTAATTCTCCATGTTTCAGCGCCATAAAGAAGAGTAGTTTTAATCATGGTCTCATATATATTAAATTTTCTTCCTTTCGTTATCTCTTTACTCCACAGTATACCATTGAGACATCCTAAGACTTTCTTTGCTTGAGTGATTCGTTTTTCTATTTCCCGTGTATCAGTTCCTGTATTGTCAAAGGCAACACCCAAGTAGTCATAGCTCTGACAGCCGAAAATATGTTGTCGGTTTTCGAGGTCTGTGTTATCTGACTCGTTTCCAATAAAAAGATATTTGGTTTTTGTTGTATTGACATTCATTCCCCAGTCGTTATATTCTTCTATCAGTTTTCTAAGCATGTACTGAATGTCTTCCCTGTCGGTCGCTAGTACTACCTGGTCATCAGCAAACTGGAGTGTATATATACATTCATTCCTAAGCTCTATACCCATCCTATGCACCTTTCTTTTCCATCTTTCCAATGCTGCTGCAACATATATCTTGAATAAGGTTGGTGAGATACAGCATCCCTATCGCAAGCCTTTAGTAACGAAGGAATTCTTCCGTTAGATATTTTCCTGTTTTTATTTGTGCCTTTGAGTCTCTATATAGTTCTTGTACAGCATTTATCAATGTGTGGTTGATGTTAGATCTTTTCAACGTTGTCCACAATTTTGTTAAGGCGATGTTGTCATATGCTTTTTGCAGGCCTACGAAAGTAATATGAGTTTCTAGATTCTTAATTTTAATAAAAAAGAAATTTTTTAATATATCTTAAAATTGAAGCCCCAAAGAATCGATTGCCATCTGCTAAATACCTCCAGAGTCACTGTTTGGGCAAGTACGGTTGTTTAAATAGTCAACTGTTTGGTCTATGTAGCGAGGTTTAATATACTTCAATAACTCATTAATTGTCATAATTCCAAATAGGTACATTACATGCCATTAAGCAAAAAACAAAGTTGTAAACATTTATAAATTACTACAAAAATATGGGTTTCTTTGCAATTATTTAGGTCAATTTTATATGTAGATATTTTAATTTAAGAACACGCAAATTAAAGAACTATCTAAGGTCTACAACTTTTATTTGAACCATTTTTCTCTAAAATGTATAAGAAATGTTTTATAGACAAAAAATATGTTTTTCATTTTTATGATTGCGTAAAAAAAACAAAGCCAAATCAGCTGTACTTCTTCAAAAACCTTGAAGTTTTTAGAATCTTCAAAAACCTGGTTACGATTTTTTCAGCGATTTTTTTCAGTTACTAGCCTATTAAGAGTTTTAATAAGTTAGTAGATATTTTTGTATGGAACAGTTATTAAAAATATAAAAACGCGTTCGAAACTTTTACGTGCGTACTAATGTATGTAGAAGTTACTCAAATCAGTTTTTTATAAATTGTCAAATATGCCTACTGTAATCTTCGACGAATGCAATCATTCAGCATGTAAATTACATTTCAAGTAAAAGCTATTATAATATGTAAAGATATGACTACATTATTAACCTAATAATGTTACATGTATACTTACTGCTCTTCTTGTATGTGGAGATATGATGCCCAATAAGAAGGAAACCGCTTGAACTGGTAAGTGTATATTAATATTAATATGATCATGGAATATATAATTACCGTCAACCAAAAACCGAACATTACTTTTCTCCAAGCTCTGAATGAAAACTGAAAAAATAAGCATTATTAGTAATTGCACAACAGATAATAATTACGCTTGATAACAGATAACGCTACTTACTTGGAACGAGAGTATAAAAAATAAGAACAGAGTCATGTACAAAATTCTGAAAACGGTCATTCTAGAACCGGTTATAGCCACTGCGAATAAAGTTATTGCTACAACCCATATCCAAAATTTAATAAGAAAATGATTGATAAACTGTCCCAATTTGGTCATGAACTTGCTTCCTCCGGTTTCTTGTTCTTTTTTAACGCCTAAAATAAATTAATCGATTTAAAAATATTTTTTTCTTTCCAACTATCAGCTATAGATACTAAAAAATTAGTTATAAATAAAGAAAAAAAATAATAACAATATAAATAAAAGAGAAAAAATAAGAAACATCTTCAAATTTAAAAATGTATTGAAAAGAGTCATTAAGTGCCCTAATATCACTAATTTGTTAATCTGCATTAGTGTCCTAATATTTTTAATTTAAAATACTGGACGAACACCTAGTCAATCGTAAATAGCAACTCCATTGTATACACCTCCCTTTTGTGTAGAAAATCAAGAAATTATATTTGTACGACCAAAGATAATGGCAACAAAGAAACCAAAAGCAAACAAATTTTACCACAAAAATCAAGAAACAGTTTCCACTGCATAATTTCTTGAACCAGGAAAGGAGCTAATTGAAGGAATATAGTTTATGCTAAACATCGAAGATTATTAGCTTCCTCGTGGATGTCAATGGTTCTTATAATCTGACAGAAATCGATCGAGTATACTACAGATATACATGCACTTATTAAAATGTTGACAGTAATCTGAGCTAAACTCGAAAAAAGAAGTATCAAAAGCAGAACTACACGAATAATAGAAACGAAGGTACATATACTATAAGTATAGTTATGACGATAATATACTCTTATCGTCTAGAGTAAGCCTATGTATTTAACAAGACCATTACTTGTCGTATAAAAGACAGAGCAGAAACCCACTCGAGGCGTTCTTGTGTGTTGAATGAAGAATACCTAACTACCTTCTAGAACACTGGAAAAGGTGCGCTGTACGTGTTCTATTCTATCAGTTTGGTAAGTTGAACGAAACTGCTAATTCTTCCTCCTATCGATTATATACCGTCTGATGTGTTGAATCAGATATTCCTTCCCTAGACATTCATTTCGCGCTAAGAAATGAATTACGTAACTCGTGATTAATTGCTCCCCACCCCCATCGTCGACTTATTATTCACGGGCCAAATATCGCCACACCATCATTTTATGATCTACGAGAGCCGAACGTGTACATATAGAATTTGTATAAAATTGGAATAATTATGTCTGTCTTATTAAAAATCTATTAATGTTAATTCAAACAAGAACGCAATTCACGAACACCATCACAACAGCATATGAAGTGGAATACGATGATAACGATGAAATAACAGTACAGAAAGTCAAAGATGGAATAACTCTAAAAAATCGAAAAGCATGCGGAATTTTTCGTTCCTTATAGCTTAAAAGTGAAGAAAAAAGAATGCAGTCCGCCGGGCGGAGGGTACCCATCGCTTTTTAAGCGATTTTTTAAAATTTACTCATCGAAATTTTACCGTATTTTATTACTTATTACTTAAAATTAAAATACAAACTTTTTCAAGTAGTCATCTGCTATTAAATACCAAAAAGTGTAACTCATACGTAAAAAATGTAAAATTATAAATAAAATACCTGTGACCTGTTTTAAAATTTATAAACTTGTTACCTAGACTAAAACTGTTTTTTCTTGAAATTACAAAAAAAGACCTTTATTTTGATTTTTTAAAGAGTCCTGTAGGTGCTGTTGTTTAGGAAAGGTTATGGAACAAATGACCACCTACAAGCACTTAAAATACTAATTGAAAAATGTGTTGAATATACTGAACCACTCACGTTGATTTTCCTAGACTTCAAGAAAGGTTTTGATACCGTGGAATTATCGGCAGTATTAGGAGCATTAGAACAAAGCCGAGTAGACTATAGATATACAAATTTGATAAAACATATTATACAACAACGCAACAGCATCTGTTAAACTCCATGACTTTACCGATAAATATAGAATTGAGCGAGGAATTAGACAGGGCGACACCATCTCCCCCCAACTATTTACTGCAGCTCAGGAATATGCCTTTAAAAAACTAGATTGGGCTAAAAGAGGAATAAATATTGATGGTGAATACTTAAGCCACTTGCGTTTTGCAGATGATATTGTCATTATAGCCGAGAGTTTAAATGAAGCTCACAAAATGATGGAAGAACTAAAACAGGCAATAGAACAAATAGACCTGAACATAAACTTTGAAAAAACAAAATACATGACCAATTTAGTTCCAAGTGATGTTATGAGGGTAGATGGGAACGAAGTACATCAGGTCTTTAGCTATATCTATTTAGGGCATGAAATTAGAATAGGAAAAGACAATCAAACTTGTGAGATCCAGCGTCGCATAGGCTTGGGATGGGCAGCATTTGGCAAGATGCGAGATATTCTAAAAGGAACGCTACCGATTTGCTTGAAGAAAACGGTTTACAACCAATGCATACTGCCAGTAATAACATATGGTTCCGAAACAATAACTTTAACCAAACATTCTGCAAATACATTGAGAGTAACCCAAAGAAAAATGGAAAAAAGCAATGTTGGGAATAACTAGAAGAGATATGGTACCAAATAGGATAGTGAGAGAGAGGACTAAAGTGACAGATGTCATAGAAAAAATTGCACAAGCCAAATGGAGATGGGCTGGACATATAGCACGTTTAAATGATAATAGGTGGACCAAAAGACTCATAGAATGGAGACCTAGAGAAGACAAAAGACACCGAGGCAGACCACCAAAAAGATGGATGGACGACTTGAGAAAAACAGTCGGAAATTGGATACAGAAGGCGCAAGATAGAGAACAGTGGAAGAACATGGAGGAGACCTATATCCATATATCTATAACAGTGGATGCAAGAGGTTGAGGAATGATGATGATGATGATGATAGGTGCTGTAGAAGCGATACCATAGCTATTTTAAGTATTTCTTGAAAATACGGTAAAATTTCGATGAGTAAATTTTAAAAAATCGCTTAAAAAAAGCGATGGGTACCCTCCGTTCGGGGACGGCATTCTTTTTTCTTCACTTTTAAGCTATAAGGAACGAAAAAAATTTGTCTGAGCAGTGTGCCTTCAAATTTGAAAAAGCGTTTTTTGGCATCAAAAAAAGGACGATTTTCTGTAGAATTATACATATAGATCCCGCAAAAATGTCAAGTGTAACATGAAGTGTAAGTGTGCGTTTATAACAAGGCGCCGACCCTCGATCGGACCATAGGAAGGTATCATTTTATCATCGCCACGTAAAATAAATGCATTATTTTAACTGCGAGCGTTCACTGTCAGTGCTATGCTCTAGGCGAGGATACCATGCGTTGGCCTCCGTAATGAACGTACCCTAAAGCTATGGTTTGTTAGAACAGTGAGCGACGCATAACTCACAGTCAGTCGAACGTCGCGCACGTTCGTCAAAATCAAAGAAATGGTTTTCTATGATAACGTTTTGTTAGGTTCTGCTGAGCTATGCGCACAGCAGACCGATAGCCGTGTACGTCGACGGTGTGCGCTGCAATCAACTGCGATTTGATTTGGACGCAAACGTTCAGCTGAGCTGACAGCGTACACATCTATACCGAAATTATAATGGATAGCCGGAGTGTGACGTCACATCTGTCATATTGTTGTCATTACTTTCCAAACAAAAGTTGAAATGTCAAATCTCAAGATTGTTTAATTTCTATAAAGATTATTTATTGAATATTAGTTTTAATAATTTTAATTTTAATTTATTTTTTAATAATTCAATATTAGTTTTCAGAGCGACAGAATGTTCTAATACCCAAAACTGCCGTGAGTCGAGTACAGCAGATTTTGTTGTGCGCTGCGCACTGTTCTAACAAACCGTAGCTTTAGGGTGCGTTCATTACAGGGACCATCGCCTTCACACTAAGTGGAGATAAACCCCGTTAGTTTTATGAAGTCGATCGATTGACACAAATTCATATACTAGTAATATCTTATGGAATCAAGTCATTTTGTAGAGATTATAGTGTATTGAGTATTTATCTACACTGTATAGTCTAAACCAGAACTGTATAATCTATCAATCACTGTATAAACACTAATAATGTATTACGGTTAATGTGATCTCAATGAAAAAAATATATAGATATTTATGTAATTTGTTTTTTCTTTTATCTTGTTTTTTTGTCTTTCTTTTAAGATTTGGCCTATTTTTTCTTCTTCGGACGTACTTAATCTATATTATTTACTGTTTATTGATGATCCATAAGTATATAAATTATAGGTATTTTCTAGACCTGTAAGAAACACCATAAAGGTTTTACATACTGTTACGATTTTAAATGTTATGGCGTATAGAACTGTAAATATTTCATGACTAATTCTTTTTTTATTGATTCTCGTAATTTCTAGGTCAAAATCTACCTGAGACACGTTGGGTTCCCCTTCGCTATAAAAACGACGAATAAGAGTTTTCTGGAACCGCGCCGATACCAGTTTTTAGATCATTGCCGCTCTGTCTACGAGGCCTCGTATTTTCGACAACATTCTATTTACCAGTCTATTCGATGGGGTTCCATTATAATGAAGAAGGTCATCGATCTTTCTAGATAACGGAAGTTTATGTATATAAATGAAACATTTTATTTGGAGGGGTTAGTAAGAAGATAAATTCGTGCCGCGTATTTAAATGTACGACCGTAATATAAAGTTGTAAAGTTAAGTAATAAATTAGTAATAAATTATCGTGAGTTTTAATAAATTAGAATAAAGACAATAAATTAGAATAAAGACAAGAAATTAGAACTATAAAAATATAACAATACAGTTAACGACATTGTTTTATTGACCATACAACACAATGGCAATCGCTGTGACATGTTATACGTTTCCACCTCTATATTAATTTCACAGTAGGTACGAATTGTCGCCATTGTCACATTAACATTAAAAATTTCAAACGAAGTTCTGAAAGAATAAACAAATAATTAATAAAATACCTATTACGTTGTATACCGTCCAAGAAAAAGTGCAACTTGTAACATGGTACTTTCAGGGTCATTCGATACGCGAAGTAATTGATTTATTTGTTACTGCCTTCGAAAATAGACCCCCACCAAGTGCTACAACAGTTAAAAATACCGTTAATCATTTTAAAACTTCGGGATGTGTAAACAGTTGTAAAAAGTGTCATGAAGGTAATGAACCACGTGTTAGACCTGTCGATGAGGAGCGTCAAAACAGGGATATTGATATTTGTGCTTTTGTGGAAGCTAGTGAACCCTGCAATAGTGTACAAATTGCTAGGGAAGTTAACGTGAATGCTCGAACCGACCAACGAATTCTCAAAAGGAATGGGTATCATTGTTTTAAGATACAACCAACACAAGAACTCTTTCCGGAAGATAACTTTAGGCTGATGGAGTTTTGTGAATTTATTTATTTATGTATACTTTTTAAAAAATATTTTATTTTCTGACGAATCTTCATTTTCATTACATAAAAAACACAGTCCATCCGTTGCAAGGCATTATTCTCGTGAAAATAAGCACCTCAATGTTGCAGTGCGAACGCAGCATCCGCAAAAGTTAAATGGTTGGATTGGGATGTTGGCGACCATATTGTCGGTCCATTTTTTATCGATGGAAATCTAAACTGGCCCAAATATTTACAACTTTTACAGAATGAGATCATTCCGGCAGTTCGACGCCTTCCCGTTCAATTTTAAGAGGTTTATTTCCAACAGGATGGGTGTTCAGCTCACAACTCTAGAGCAACTATTGACTTCCTCAATTAAACGTTTCCTGATCGACTGATAAGTACACGTGGTACAATTAAATGGCCCGCTAGATCCTGTGACTTAGCGCCTAACGATTTCTTTTTTTGGGTTTTTTTCAAAGAAAAGAATTATAGGCATCAGTTTGAAAGGGCCACAAACCTAGTCGAATTAAGGGCAAAAATACTTCATTTATCTGCAAGCATTACACTAGCCCTACTCCAAAATATGAAGAGAAATCTATATGACAGATTTGGTTACTGTTTAGCACAAGGAGATATAATATTTGAGCCCTTAATTCATTAATATGTATACCTAATTTTAATTTTTTGTTAGGTACATTTTACGAAGTTTGTAGGTTCTTAATTAGGTAGTATTTTTGTTTAAGTTTGGAAGAATTTTATTGTTTTTTTTTATTTTAAAAGTACAAACGATTCTTATTCTAATTTTTTTTTTCTATATGCTAGTCTATTCTTAGCTATTAAGGCTAAAAAATAACCAAAAAATTAGTTTTAGAGCATTATAATAACTATATTCTAGAGATGGGATTGCAATAAATCTTAATTCCTATGGTCAACAAAACAATATATTTATCTGTATATATGGCGAAAAACTATGGGTTAAAAGATGCCAGAATAATATGTAAACTGTATCTTCAACAATTACTGTACATTTATAAGTTAGGACTTACCTGTAGCAGTTCCAACTGTAACTTGTAAAGGAGCTACCATATCTGCCAAGGCGCTAGTCTGCTTCTGTTCCATTTTTTCATGCATATACTGCCTTAAAGTAATCCAAAACATCACAGTATAAAGACTCTTAACCAACAAAGGTATAAACGCAGGCCCTTCTGGTTTTTGAAATCCTATTTCGTCCAAGTCTACTGAGGACGGTAACTCATCATCGGTAAGTCTTAGACAATATATATAGGTCGATAATAATAAGAAGAGAGCATAGAGGACCAGAAATGGACTGGACATAAGCATGCGTTTCCTTTGATTAGGTATAAGCCAGATTAAGTTGGCCCAAAGGAGAAGCACAAACGTTATCCAACTTAAGTATGTTATACTCCATGCCTAAAATAATAAGATGGATTAAGAATTTATATAAATAAAATCTATATGCTGATAGCTAAAAAAATGCAAAAAAAAACACCTAGGACAAATATTTTTTTAAATATTTATTTATGGAACTATACATTATAATATTCTTATTATTTCATAACATTATAAACAACTTCGCAACGTCATTTTGGTAAAAAAAAATAATAATGAGGGGCTCCTCCTTGTTTTGCTAAACATTCAGTTACTCTATGGGATATTGATCGAATTAAGTGGTATATATCATATTACAGAATACTTATCAAGGTTCTTCATAGGGCATGCCACAGGTCTTCTAAGTTTGCTGGAGGACGTGACAATCGATTTAGGTTTCGGTCTACCATATCCCACACATGTTCAATGGGTGACAAATCAGCATATCTTGATGGCCACTCCAAAGTTTCTATACCAGATTCTTGTACGAACTCAATGGTTTCGCGGGAAATATGAGGTCTTGCGTTATCCTGCTCAAAGGTCATATTTGGAATAGTTTGTTTGTAGGAATGTAAAACCGGTTGCAGTACTTTACCAATATATAAGAGTGCTGCTAATAAGAACAAGTGGCGACCTTCTTCCCAAGCATATAGCACCTCATACCATGATGCTTAGTTGTGTTGCGATCACCAGCAATATTTCGTCTCTCATCTCGAAAACGTTTTACCCTTATGCGCCCATCAGATCCACCCAAACAAAACCTAGATTCATCACTGAAGCAGACAAAATTCAATTGACCATTTCAGTTTTGACGAGCTCTGTACCATTCTAAGCGTCGAGCCTTATGCTGTGGTGTCATAGGTAACACTAAAAGCATACTGTAAGCTCTCAGTCCAATTTCAAGTAATATTTGATTAACTGTTCATCTTAAAACTACCCTTCCTCTAGCTGCAACTAAATTATCTCTTACTTAATTTACACTGTCCCGTGTATTTCTGAGACCAAGAACTATAAGATGGCGAAAATCACGGCCTTGCAATATTCGACGTCGTCCAGACCCTCTACAACGCCGAAGTCTCATCATTAGACCACCTCTTACTCACCAACTCTTAACACCGTTGATGGATTAGCAGTAAGTTTCCCTTAAACCAAAACCGGCCTCTTTCATGCCTACAATGCATTCTTTTACGAAGTCGCTTAAATGACGAAATTGCGACGATCGCGAATTCTTGGCATTTTAAATTTTTTGAGTAAATCAAAAATAATCCAAACTGACTAAAAATTAAAATAAACTTAAGTTAAATACACAGAAATAATCTATCTTATTTTTGGTTTTGCGAAAAAAGAAGAAGAAAAAAACTTCGGTTAAAGAAAAAATAGCGAGGTAAAAACTTTGTAAACTTTGTAAAAACGAGGAAAATCACTTTGTAAACAATATTATAACACATCTGAAATAATTAGTAGATAAGTTTAGACAACATTTTATTTTTACTGAAAAACCATAAACCAGTACGTATATAAGTCTAGTTGATAGTTCTCATAATTTTGCATTGCAATGTTCTATAGTTATAGAAACGAGAAGTGTACAGAAAAAGTGAAGAGTAATGTAATATTTTACATTCAATGTAAACAGATCCAATATGGACAGGTATATAAATCAATCAATATATACAAATAAAAAAATACTATGCCGATGATCGGCTGATAATTCCAATTCTTTAAGTGAGCTACAAACAATATCTAATGTGTAAGAATTTTAATGCGAAAATTTGGGCAAAAAAGATAAAGTTAAAAATCCCGTAAGAACAAAAATATTACATCCCCTAGAACAAGTAAGTTATTTAAACTACGTAGGTAGTTACACAAGTGTCAAAAAAGATAGAGAAATTGCTCACAAAAATTGATAGGTTTCAGTATATATACGGAACGATTCACAGAAGACTAAGGAACAAGACAATGTACTTACGGATCAAACATAACAACTGGTACGAACAAATAAGAATAACAGGAATGATCTGCGAATTATCGTAGGTCTCCTGACAAAACACTATCTTTCCAAGGGGCACATGAATAAAATAACAAAAGTGTCACCAAAGGTCATAAGTGAAACCATAGACATATAATACAAATAGACTAAGCGCCGCGATCCCCCAGTGCGGCGGAGAAAACTGACGCAAAGCAGTCTCTGCATCTCTGTCTAATTTGCCGGGTTCATCGACCACGTGACCGAAATGACCAATATGAAGATAACGTGGTCGATAAACCCGGTCCATTAGAACTAGATGCAGGGATTGCTGTACGTCATTTTTCTCTGTCTATGAATACTTGTTTTGAAATACAAATTAAATTGTTCCGCAATTTAATTTACATTATGAACACAATGAGACTCTACATACTTAGTTATTTTAGTGTTTTTCACATGAGACTTTGATTGTTTCTGTATCTATTGTGTTTTCTAACTGTTTTAGGAACAGGCAGTTCAAAAGTTAAAATGTGTAAGCATACCAATATAATATCGGTCTTTTGATCAATTAAAATTAGAATTTACTGGTTCTGGGATTGATGTAAAAATTCAACTTACCATCATAATTATATTTGTTGCTATATACGATGATCGAACTACATATTGCATAATAGCATCCAGAGCAAAAATAATGTTGTGAAACAGAGTAAAATCATATTCTTCCTCTTCTTCTTCTGAAAAAGAAACCGTACCTATGTTCGGAACAAATTAATAGTCAGAAACGTAACATGTAACACAAATTATTTCTACGATTAATTTAAAATGACAATAAAAACGACATTAATTACAAACAAAAATTTACCAAAAACATCCATAGGTATATCCTCGTTTTCACCAGTCACGGTTACACTTCCAGTAGAGTCTTGGAAAACCCTTCCAGAACTGCGTTTCGATCGCCTAGTAGGGCCTCGTAATAACTAAAATAAGGCAAATAGTATAAAGAAGTATGCTTATAAACGTTTATTTCTCTTAAACTTGAGTTACATTAACACTTGTTGCTGAAAAGTACCTTGTTAAAATAATTTCAAGGGAAACAATGTTTTTTTTTAATAAGGTCACTAGAATCTTTAAAAGCTACACCATTGCTACGAATATCTTTATTTCACGAAATATGATTGGATATAATGTCAAAAAATTCTTATTATTATGAGCAATGTGTTTGATGAAGAATCAAATATATGAGCATCGGAAGCAAAACACGAATTTACAAAACCTGTGTACGACCTAGTATGACCTGCATCACAGAATTACAAGTACAAATAACCACTACTAACAATTACCAAGAACAACCGAAATAAAGACCCTAAGATCAATTACTGGCAACACACTTTTGACATAGAGTGAGGAAAAGCTATATCAGGGCCCTGTGTAACATCCAAGACGTTGTAAAATGGTCTAGAGTCAGAAAAAGACCATGGAGAGACCACGTTGACAGAATGGTTGATAACCGAACACCAACAGACCATTCTGAAGAGCGCCAAATGCTAATATGAACATCGGAATTCCAACTGAGATTACAAATTTGAAAAAACAAGATATTGTCTTAAAATAAGAAGAGGAAGGATTCAGTCAGACGTTTTCAAAAATCTATCTTGATGTATACATGTAATATACACTTCCAAGAATCTTATTTTGTCCTTCCGTCTGAGGCTAGGCCTAATAGATGACGCACAAAAATTTACCTGACCGGTTATATTATCTAATTCTTTGATACCGTGAAATCGATAGGGGTATCACAATAGTTGATAGATTGAAACAAAATTGGGGGCACAAAATGAAAAAAATGGGAAAGTAATCGAAAAAAATAAGATAAAGAAAGACAATTAGGATTTGATTTCACTAGTATAGTGCCTCTGCTTATGCGCTTATACGTATTTCGTTCTAGCAGGATGATTCGTCAGAGCAACTGAACAGGGTTTCTGCATAGTTGCGTTAAGAAATTAGCTTACGAAAGGTTCTTGCTTAGATTAATTGATATGTCGCGGAATGCCATTTTAGATACCCCATGTCGGTTCTTTCATCATCTGTTTTGCATTGTACATTTTATAAGGCACAGATTTAAGCAAAAATCTGAATTTTGGTTTCGACAGCCAAGAAATATTCGGATTTTTACTTTTTGGTTTTGAAAACAAGAATTTTGAATATTTAAAACAACATTAAAAAAAATACAGATTAACAGTGTAAACGACAAATATGGGATAGAAACAAAAAACATTATACAAGAATATTATTCAAGCCCCTATGATTCAAAACAAAAACATCATAGGAAATCCTCAGATAATTAAAAATAAAAAATGTTAACTCAGAGCTAAAACCGGAAATTAGTAACAGTGAAATTAAAAAGCACTGGAAGAAATAAATAATAACACAGGTCTAGTATATCTTAATGATTAAAATTATTAGTAACCAAAAGATACCAAACAACTGAAACGATGCAGAAACGTTATTGCCACTGAACCTCTAAAAAACACACGAACAAGCTGAATTTTACTCAGAATGTCAACTTTGGGATCTCAAAAAGACGTAAAAAAGTTTGCCATTTCTAACCCCGGGCTTCCCCCTAAAATCACCCCTCGTAGGGGGAATAAAACACCGATTTACCAAGAATCTGTACGCTGTAGAAAAAAAAATGTTTTAAACAAGAAATGTAGCTGGGCTAATGCTACTTTTTCTTTCTCTTTTTTTTTTAATGCTAAAAAATGCACTTTTTTTGTAGAATGAACCATTCTCTCAACGCTTGGAGCGGCCGGCGATTTTGAATGCAAGTTAAGAACGTTAAAACAATTTTTTAAATGAAATTATTTATGTGAAATTACGCACCATAAGTGGTGAAATGTAGCAGAAATCACGTGCCCATTATGAATTCTAGTAAATTTTAAGTTCGGTCATTGGCGGCGTGTAAGAAAATATGTTTCCTTACTACTTAGTCAAGGAGTTGTTGCAAGGATGCAAAAATAAGTTTTTCGACTGAACGGAAGTGGACTATACACCTTAAGATGTAAAATATTTAAATTCTTTATATATCTATTATTTTATTTCAGAAGAATATTTAATAATTTAGTCTGTCAATAGAAAGAGTACTAGCAACCGCAGATGCTTGTTTGGTCTGTATGTACATAATGTCTTCTAAAACATGCCAAAACGTGTTTATTTGAGAAGTTATACATCGAGTTATGCACTACATGAATCATGTTACAAATACAATACTCTTCGCAAATGATTCTACGTAATGCGTTTACAGCAGTAAACAGAACGAAATGTAATTATCAAGATTCGAAATTTATTTCTGAGAAAAATTTAATTCACTTGAGTGTCAAATAACCGAGAAGTCTATTTACTTAATAACGGAATTAATCAATGTCCTAACATTATTTCGCAACGTGTTTACATAGCAAAATAGAGACACAACAGATAAAGTAATAGCTGTAATAGCAGATTTCTGCAACTACACAACGAAGCAAATAATTTCATTTTATGATCTTCGATAAAAAACTAAAAATTCCGTCAAAGGAAGAACTGGAATACAAAGTAAACATTTAACTTTCATGATATGGCACAGGAATGATAACATAGCCCAACAAAATGAACAAAATTGGTGCTTTAGAAATATCAAATTATAAATATTTTTGATGATCTGATTTCAAAAATTACTTTTTTTTATGGTATTTTTTTTTTGGAATCGATTGTATAATTTTAAATTCGCTCGAAAAGATATAGACAAAGGTACCTGGAAATCTCCAGACAAACAGTAAATAATGATAGACTGTAGACGCAAGACACCAATCGAATATAATAAACGTCCGCATCAGAAGGGCAGCAAATGCGGATTCTGATTACTACTGGGTCGAAAGTAGGGTAAGTTATTTAAGAAAAATAACGTTGTCATCTTATTTTTAGATGGAGAAGTGGAGTCACAAGAAACGATAAAATTAAGAATGAGTATATTAGAGGAGGTTTAAAGATGGCATAAATTAATTCCGAAAAGAGATAGCACAGGTTTAGATGGTTCAGGCTGTCGCATTTTCTTTCCATCATGTAAATCGTAAGAACCGAAAACGGTTCATATCCTATTCCATTCTAAAAATCTTAGGATAAATAACTTTAAGAGTTTGTTTATATTAGGAAGTGTAGCTTCCAGTGTTTGAATTACCATCGCACTTTTCAATTCGTTTTGTCTCAGTTTCATCTATAGAATGTTTAACTGATTTTTTTTAAATTTTTGTTCCATATGTATTTAGTGCAGTATAGTGATTCGTTTTTTTGTATAGGATATGTCTCCCAATCTTTTTGTATTTCAGAATAACCTATTTTCAGAACTCTAGTAATTAAGTGATAATTCGGCTATATGTGTAGGTATATTTTACTAGATAATAAGTTGTCATCTTCTGTTCTTTTGGCAAGTAATAAGATAATTCTGACAAGAATGTAGAGCAACCATATAAGGTAAGTGTCTTTGTTTCTCGTTATTGTTACCTATGCATACGTTTAGCATATTTGCCATGATCTTAGAATCTTTTAACTAATTTTCTCATATGTCAAGTGCCTAGTTTTTCTCGTCCCTCGAACAAGTACAAGGTGACACCCTTTATTTTTCAGAAATAGTTATAGAAAAAGTTTTAGAAATAGTTTTAGTTTTAGAGTTTTAGAGACTTTAGAAGTGTACTGTACATACATAATACTAAACTTTTTTTTATTTTAATTACATCTGAAGTCTTTGGCCGATATAATTAATATTTATATATTTCTATCATTTATTATATCGAAAAAACCGGTAATGTAACTCAAATTTAAAAATTGGCTGCACTGTATCTAAAGTATAACGTAAATTCATGTACTGAATGGACTAGGGAATATACGTTAATACTAAAGATATGAAAATTGTCAAATTGGTATGCATATGTGTGAATACATTTACCTAATCTTATATTAATTAAATTATTTAAATCGAGGGCAAACCCTAAAAAATGTATTTATTTTTATTCAAACTGCGCTAAATGTGCAAATAATGAACAAAACCAAATGTGACGAATCAAATTCGGATGACTAAAGACTCATATCTATAAAAGCATTTTGGATCTAATGCAGCCTCTTCAAAAACGTATTCCTTCAATAGAGTCCAAATATTTGTTCATTGGCAAACACTTTTATGTAGATATGTAGTCAATTCATTCCTATCTGTCTGTGCGGAGGGAGAGCTTTCGAAAGTTTTCCGTCAAAAGGCGTCCAAATGTTTAATAGGAAATTTTCTATTCCATGGATATATAAGATAGATGTGAATAAGGTGTAAGCTTCCAAGCAAACGAGATCATGACATAGGCGTGCAATTATGTTATTAACTGCACTTTGGATTTGATTTAATATGACACATACACATGCTCATGCTCAGTCAAAAAATTCAATCACACCACAATCACTAATCCCGGAATATACCATCATCTGTCCAGAGATACATGGTCCAAGAGAAGTTGGCTTAAGCAATGTTCCATAGAGCTGGCAAACTCCGAGGAATTGGCTAACAGCATTTCGTCTTAACACGCAGGAATACAATGTAGATGATGGCAGAAAGAGAAAACGATTGTCCAAAAGAGGACTCAGAAATAAGTAAATACAAATAAAAATATAATGGAAACGTGGACAGAGACTAACTCGCTAGGTCTGTTTCTATCTCAAATTGTAAGTAATTCCAATCAGGTTGATTTTCCTTTAAAAAGTGTATATATTTGTCGTTTTCGTACTTTCAACGACTTTTTATTTACCCGTTGTGCTTAGCTTTATCTATCAAATCTCTTTTCGTGACAACATCGATGACGTATTACTATCTTAGGGGAGTTGATGGAAAGGTCATGGCTTTTAGAGTACAATGAATGAGCTTCACCGTGCTATTGACCAAATTGTATATTATAATACATATTATAAGTCCTTTATACTAGGCAAACGATTTCATTAGTAACTAATTGTTAATTATATTGTATCAATGCCCGTTGTTATCGAGATCAAGTTTTCTTATTTGTTTGCGACTTTATTTAATTTATTTCAAAATGATTAATTTACACAACAGTAGATAGTAAGCCACTTTGACCTTTGACCCCATTTTTTGGCGAAGGCGCTAGAGGGCGTGTATTATGTCACGTTTTATGTCGAATGTAACGGTTTGTCAAAATCACATTTTATACATTTTATATCGAATGCCAAAGATCAAGTATTATGTCCCATGTCACGTATTTCACGTTTTATGTCATGTTTTAAGTCACATTTTATGTCAAATGTCACGTATTATGTCACCTTCTACGTCGAATGTCATATATTATGTTACGTGTGGAAGCGCACCCACACGTGACATAATATACGACATTTGATATAGAAGGTGACATAATACGTGACATTTGACATAAAAAATGACATTTAACATAAAACGTGACAATACATCCCTCCACCAAAAAATTATGTCAAAGTGAAGTGAATGAAGCGGCTTACTATCTACTCCCAACTACGTGAAGAATGCAGTTGTGCTGTATGAGCTTGATGCCAGTCGACCAGCTTGTTGGACGACGTCCTCTATTACGCTATACATCTCATCTTATTGCACCTTTCTTTTTGAAGCACATGGGAATATCTGATCTTAAGACTTTCCTCAGTTTTTCATAAGCTGCCCATGTTACTCATACTCTCCTATTTAACTATATTTGTTTGATTGTTTCTTCCCAATTTGAGGCTGTTTTATCGGTGTACCAAAACCTAGGGACTGATATTTACCGACAAAATGTCTCGAAATTTTTACACAATATTCGAAATTATGTTGCTTTTAAAATGATGGTTTTACTTTTTTTATTTTTTTGAAACTTCTGTTGAAAAATTGGATTATACTGTTTAACGTTCTATTATAACCAAACTGTTTACGCCCATCACTCGAAAGAGTTTTTTTTTCTGTAATCGTTGATTTTTTTTCACCTTTCTCTGTCCAGTAATAATCGAGAAAAGCGTCTTCCAACTTTGAAGAAAATTGCTAAAAAATACTAAAATCTAATAGTGAAACGTGTTACTCATCATTGTCGCTTAGGTTCACCGTTATCGCCTTCGTGACGTAAAATCTCATGTACGTACGGTCAGTTAGTTCGTGTTAAAACTAATTTAAATGGAGAATAATGCATTTTTTGTCATTAAACTACCCGTTGGCCGGCGCCACTGAGTAAAGATAGTCTCGCGTAAGCAGAGTAGAAATGTAAGTGATACGCCCGTTTCAAATCGCAGTGTGCTTGAACTGCTAAAACAGCCTTAATCTCATGACCTAGATATTTACAGATATACACCTGTCCAATTTGTGTGCCATTGAAATGTGTTTATTTCGCCATAGTACATTATGACTGCAGCTGTTGCGATATTATATATATATATATATATATATATATATATATATATATATATATATTCCGAATAAGAGTTATGTACCTATAAGCAATGTAAGAGCTCTTACATTGCTTATAGGCACCCCTAAATTTGTCTTTCTCTTGTGATTGGTGAAAATATATAACTAAATTTTCGGCTGCATCTAAGAAAATTATTAGTAATATTAGATTACAAACCACCAATTAAAATATTAAAAAAGATGGCCACTATAATTACTTAGACCTAAACACCTGTCTTGGCAAATCAAGAAGACTGTTATTCGGGAATTAATGATTATAATTGGTGTGCAACAGATTAAATAATATAGATTACAGAAGAAATAAGAAATTTGTCTATACTAAAAAAGTCAAAGACCTTTAAAACTGAAAGAAACTAAATATTAATTATTTGGTTATATTCCATAGTAAGACTTAGAGGCATAGAAATTAAATAAACAGGATTACAAGAGTGATCAGTAAAAAAATACTAAAACTAATTTTGAGAAACACAATTTTAAACATGTAGGTAATATAAAAATTATAGAGGAAAGATTACGCTTAGTATTCAAAAAATTACAAGTTCTATAATACAAAAAAGGAAGAAGTATTAAGTTCAAATTTTAGAACATTGTCCAGATTAAAACAAAATTAAATTTGTAAACCAATTAACAAATATTTAAAGCAGCATTTTTTTATTTACATGTTAATTGATTTCTTTAAAAGGGTAAATGTCATTCAAATAAAATTTGACAATTTTCTTGACAGAAAGCATGTATCTACTAATATTAGTAGCTTTATGGTATAAGTCGATAGATATTGTTATTTTGAATTTAATATAAAAAGTTAAAACTGGATAAATTAAATTTAACAATGCCCATCGAGTGCTTGAAGAGATGAATCACCATTACCGACATAAAAAAGAAAAAAAAGTATGAAATAAAATGAAAAAGAACCAAATACATACTGGCGTCGATTCTGTGGCTTCAGCAAGTTCTTTCTTTAAAGCCATCTAAAAAATAAATAAACAGAAAGCAAAGCATTAAAAATTAGCAAAACAAATGAAATCGAACGAAAGAATAAATGTTAGTATTGTTAGCATCAAGCTCCCAATTCTGTAATCCAGAAAAATGTGAGTGCCCAATATGAAAATTATAATAAATAAATAAATATAATGGCGCCAATGCATAAGAAACACCATTGTCAAAATCTAATATGTTTATATTTAATAGATCAGTCACATAAAATTAGTAAACAAGATTCTCCTTTATCGAGAATTTGTGGGTTAGTTAACATACGTCTTTTTTATCATTTAGGTAAAAATAAATTAATGCGGTTATTTATCGTGTAATAAGTAAAACTGTTTAAAATAAACGGACCGTAAAATGTTTATTATTACTGTTAAACTTTAAATAGTTTAAATAAATACCTATGTAGCATAGTTCTTCCATTACTTTTTCCAAATCCACTTTTAGTTTTCAGAATTTTTTTATATCAATTATAAAAAATATAAACGATAAAACTGTAAGGGACTACACCGGACATGAAACACTTTGTGAACCGACTAATAGAATTTTGTAAAAGAAACGGACTTACAGTAGGTGGGAGTCTAATAATTTCTTAATAGACTAAAAAGGAAAGAAATCAAAGAAATAATATAGAAAGAGGAGAAAACGGTGGAATAAACTAAGTTGCCCAAATCAGCTAATGAAATAAGTGGAAGAGAAACAATCCAAACATTATAACTCATAAAGGAAATAATTAATGGCAGAAACAATTATGCAGAAAGAAATAAAAAACAAAGGAACACATTAAAAAAATTTAAAACAGATAGCAGTGAAGAAACCCATTTCTCAAATATTAAAGGTATTTACACTGAGTGATTTATTATTTCTACCACCCAAGGAATATCGGCGTCAAGGCGCCGATCAGGTACCTATGCACTCGTATCTACTCCGAATGAGGGCATATGCGTAAAGCTGCGACTTTGTAGAACTGTCTGTTGAAATAAGTCGAACTGAAAGATAATCAGGAAATGAATTACATGCCAAAATATCCGTCGCCGACAGTTGTGAAGGTAGTTTCTTAAAAACAACGTCATTCACTCTATTTTTTCAGCTTTGATGCCTCCACTACTGATTAGAAGTGGTGTATGGGTAGTGGTAGTTTGATAGGTCGACGATCAGACAGTTCATTTGCAGATCTACCGAAAAAACTTTATTTTTTAGCGTATTTTCATTCTTCAGATTATTTTACATAAAATATTTCTCATGTTTATCCTCCTATTAAAAATACAAAAGTACATTTTAAGAGTAATCACCTCTTAGGTGGAAAGAGGAAGTGTACCTTCATCATTTTTTAAATCATCCCGCACAAATTCAAATATCTTAAATAGGTAGGTAACCAAATGTATATTTTATCTTCTCGAATTGAATGGTTTGTTTATATTAACAAATGGGTTGTATATAGGAATGTTTTGTACTACACATATGATTGATTCTATTACAAATGTGTTTATATTAATATTGTTGTGAGTTATATACCCCTGACTGCGGCCCTGTACGTTAGAGAAATCGAGAACCGTCTCAGTCGCTGAACTCCGATAAAGAGATGACCTTCAAGAATCTCCGGACTTCCCGATGATTAAACGGTCGCCCCGCCAACTGTTTAGGGAGAATTTGTTCTTATTATATAAGCCAGCAGGGGTGGGCTCTGGGATTCTAGGCGTCAGTGCGAATTCTTTCTTATAATCTAAGTCTAAGTGATAATGATTCATGTACCTAATTAGTAATTGAGGTTTGATTTTAAATAAAGTTACTTAAACCCCGTCGTGCTAAACTTAATTTCTAAAACCACATAAAAACGATAACAATAATTATGTCCCTATGGTTTAATTAACTTATGTCAATGACTACTTGAAGTAGTCCAGTAGTCGCTACTATCAGTGCAATAAAAAGTGATCATCTGCGAAAAAAAAATTTGTTATGTACTTCTTCTTAAGTTCTATTACCATTCCTGTGTATTTTTTTCTTCAGTTATTTAATGCTTCCTGAATATAAATTTTAAATAGAGTTGGAGATAAAGAACATCCTTGTCTAAGGCCTTTTGTAACAGGAAATGCGTCTGAAATTTTATTTTTCATTTTAACGACGCTTTTATTGTTGTGTATATATTACTTAGGCCTGTCATCATCGATATTTCAATCTTTTTAAGGGTACTTTATCATTGGCCTTCTCTAAGTCAATGAACACTAAATACATCGGTAAATTTCTGGCTGTTCTTGTCTCTATAATTTGTTGAAGTACGATCGATATAGATCGTACTTCAACAGTATCGATATTGTCTACGCAAGATCTTCCAGCACGGAATCCACTCTGATCTTCTATTTGTTCACATTAGTGTTCTATTCGTTCTCTTATCAATCGGCCGTACAAACTCTCCAATGAGCTAATAACGCTTATACCTCTGTAATTTTTGCATTTCTTTTGTGCGGCAATAATGTAGTGTCAGTCGAAATGAATATTATATTGAATATCATATCGGCTTCCGTCTTAATTTAGTGTACAAATTTTCAATGGATTTTTTAAGATATTGTTAGATCTAAAAAAATATATCACCTTCCCATAGGTTATAAAATTAGACATAGACATAGAAGAACAGTCACAAGACACTTGGTGGGCCGAGGCAGTTTATGGTCGACAACTAGTTCTGATTGGAACAGAAATGAATGCTATCAAAATCCCTCACGTGTTTAACTAAACAATCTTGAATTACCGATAATTTCAAACGTGTCTTTTTACAGCACACCAATTAGTAGTTCAAAGCCTCATGTGCTCATTGTAAGGATTAAGTGTAAGTAAGTTTGTGATTAGTAAATAATGTTAAATATTAATAAAACAATACATTGTCAATTTTGTTGCAAGTCAATTATTGTTATCAGGCATATAAAAAATGTGCTTTGTGCGCTATATAGTGACATAGTAGATTTTGACAAAAGTTGATCAATTAAATTTTGTACTTTATGATACTTTATGGGAATATGAAGGTCGGTTGCTTACTCGAACTTTACGAGAAGCTTTTTGCCATTTCTGAGCCGCAGTGGGTGTTAAAAGTTTTTGTTTAGACAATCTTGAAGAAACTTTTCTAGATAATCTACTATCCGCACTAGGAAAAGGCACTCCACTCTTCCTTATTTGCTAAAAAAGGGTTAGTAATAAAGTTAGTTAAAGGTATATTTTATAACAACATACCTAAGAATGAATGTATATATGTACTTGAAAATAGTTTGAGACCTTTAGAATAAATATGTAAAAAATTTAAAAAATGGGAAAAATTTATAATTAAAAGTTTGTTAGGATTGTCTTAGTTTCGACTTTATATCAGCATTTTCATTTTCTTGACACATTATCGATTGCATAACATTTTTTGATATTATTTAAATAAAGTGATATAAGTATGAATGCTCGAATAAATAAACTTTAATCGAATGAAAGACAGCTATTGATCACAGTTTATTAATTAAATCTTGCCCAAGTACTTTCGCTCCTAGAGCATCTTCAGGGGCATTTCGTCAAATTTGGCCTATCCAATAATCTATTGAGAATGTCATAAACACAAAATTGTACATTAATACTATACGGCACCAGGGCAAACAGTTTAAAATTTTAAAAATGGAGATTTTAAAAGAGAAATAACATTCTCTTTTGCTCATTTATTTAAAAAATAAATGAACAAAATTAAATGTTTTTTAAAAAATTAATTATCATTAATTGAATTAAAAATATTTGCGGCTACATTCTTGACTGGCAACCTATTATTAATGTATTCTCCTAAATTTCAATGCATGAAAAAATGCGACTTTTATTATTGTGATTTTTTACCCACTTAATGCATTATCCCATGTCTGACACGGAACGGCTTGCCGGTAAATTCGGAACTTGCCCGTGTCTCACAATTTATTATGGATTTCCCAGATTTAGCCATTACGGCTCACACACCCTCTAAGGGGAAAATTCACTCATCCCAGATACCTACGGTATCAAAAGGATTGAGCTCTGGTGGGACTCTTGCCGTGTTATCGAGCCCTGGGTGACTTGATATGTTGGAGTATCTCCCAAAAATTTTCGTACACATCTGGACGTCGCCAGGAGTACAGTTTTCTGCATGGTCTTATAAAGATGTTCATTTAGACCCAGCAGTTTTATGTTCGCTAGGAGGTTTTTGGGAATAACACCAGTAGTAGGTAGAACAATAGGTACTGTCTGGGTACTTTCCATTCTCCATTGTCTCCTGATTTGTATTTCTAGGTCTCTATACTTGGCGATCTTTTCGTTGTATTTAACACGCAAATTATTAGTGTTTTGTGTATTAGTATAATAAGTGTTGTTTGCCTGGTAAGTTTATTCACTAGTATAAGATCCGGTCTATTATGGGCCACTGGTTGGTCTGTGAGCACAGTGCGCCCAGTATAGCTTGTAGTTGTCATTTTCAAGCATTGTGTCAGGGAAATATTGATAATAAGGAAGATGATCGGTTTGGCGCATTATTTCTTGCTGTCAGGTAGTTTATGCGCATTTCTTGTTCCCTCGGTTTAAGCGGCGCAAATTGCTCGATGTAACGTATATGTTTCAGCCTGTACCTGAAAATAAGTTCTTAAATTAGCAATTTGTTTATCCAATTGTTCACCTATATCCATAAGTCCTTTTCCCCCTTGATACCGCGCTAATGTTGTTCTCTTTACTGCACTGCGTGGATGATGTTTTTGCGCCTTTGTGAGAAGTGTTCTTACTTTCCGCTGAAGACCCCCTATATCCGTTTTTGACTACTTTATAATACCAAATGAGTAGCTCAGCGCGGAACAGGCGTACGTATTTAATGCCTTAAACAAATTTTTACTATTAAGATATGACCGATTTAATTGTCTTACTCTTCGCACAAACTCCGAAGTTAGTTCAGTTTTCATTTGTTTATGGTCAATTTTTTTACTCCCGAGATATTTGTACATATCATTTTCACCCATTGCCTCGATGTTTCACCCATATTGCATATCGAAACCTCCAGGTTGAACCTTTATACAAAGACTCAAGGGTCCCCCTAGAAAAGGCCCCGGTTAATTGGAATATCTTCAGTTTCGATATTGTTTTCACCAGGTATTTAAAGGTGAATTTTAGTCTTCCACTCCATCATTATATGCTTTAAAAAGGTCACTATATTATCATCGACTTTATATATTTTCAATATACCTATAAGTGAATTATGCGGTACTGAATCAAAGGCCTTCTTGTAGTCGATGATGACGGTGAAAAGGTTCCTTTTTTGGTGTATGCCTGGTTGGAAATTACTGAGTCGATTATAAGTTGTTCTTTGCAGCCCATGGAACCCTTAGCGCATCCTTTCTGTTGAGGCTCTATGATATTGTTTAGAGAACAGTTTTGGTAGATACGCTGGCAACACAGGATGTGACCAATTTGTATAAAGTTGGAAGACAAGTAATTGGGCGGTACTTAGCTGGATCTTGGGTGTTATTTTGATCCTTCGGTATTAGATAAGTGGTTCCCTGAGTAAGAAATGGTGGTATTTCCTGCGGATTAAAAATAACATGATTAATTAATACTGTTAAAAGCTCGTGTACACTCAAAAACTTCTTTAGCCAGAAGTTTTGAACTACGTCTGGTCCAGGAAATTTCCAGTTATGAAGCTCTTTGATAATGTTCGAGACTTCTTCAGTGGTGAAAGGTTCATAGGGAATTACTGTAATGTTGACAGTTGTTCGTCTTTTCTTCAATCCATCCAGAATTGTTGTTATGAGTAGCTGGCGTCGAAAGTTGGTTTCCCCAAAACTCATGATTGATGTTGAACTCATGTTGAATGTATTATTTTTATTATTTATTTCATTTTTTTATTTTTATTTTTTTCTAAGAATTTTATAATTACTTTTTCTTTAGCTATTTTCATTATTCAAACGTTTTGTGACTTTTTCTGACCCGTTTTTTGAAATTTTTCAAATATTTTTAAACTTTTTTTTATTTATACTCTTATTATAATTCTACACCCTGATAGCAGTAGTTAAACTACTGCTTCGTCGGTAAGGTATCTATTAAATATTTATGTTAGGATTCAAGCTAGTTTGTTCCGATTTTAATTTACTCTGCAGGAATACCACCTGAACCGGAACCACGTCCATTTTTTAATAGAGTTACTGTTTTTTTTTATTACATACTAGTTTTTTATAGGCAAATCTTCAGTATTTAAAGAAATTATAATCAAATTATGAGATTGAATTAGTTTTTGTTTCAAACTTAACTAAACAAGGTATGTAGTTATTTGAATATTGAATTTTAAAATTGCTTTCAATCTTGTTACCGAAATCAGAAATAAAAAAATTGTTGTAGTTTATTCCCAGTACTAAAAAGAGTGATACGGCAGTGATGCCGTAAAACACGATTATAAAATATTAAGTGGAATGATTTTTTATCGTGGAGGCAAAATCTTCGTAATGGTTTTGTTTTTCCGGATCCAGAGTCAGATTTTGTTATGAATATATTTGGTAATGTTAACCCCGACAAATAAATTCCTTACATGCACAATCACTGATTTTATTTTAAAAGGTTTGTCAACAAAAATGTGCAATAGAGTTCTAAATATTTTTACTTTACTACGATAAGACCATTTTATTATATATCGCATCATTAGTAAACCTAGGCCATGGTTATGTGGGTAACATAACAATAACCTAACAATTAGGTTAAAATAAATGATCATCATCATCTCTGGCTCTACTACCCTGGGTGGGTCTTGGCCTGTTCAAGAATTAGTCTCCATTTCCCCCTATCTTTCGCCCTGGCTTTCCAGTTTCTGATCCCTAGATTCCTAAAGTCATCTTTGACTTGAGTTTTGAATCTACATCTTGGCCTGCTTCTCTTCCTGGTTCCTACTGGTTCTTGATATAATATCGGTCTTTGGGGGTCTCCAGTGCCCATTCTTTCAAGGTGTCCTAGCCACTTTAGTTATTAATTTTAATAGACCGGACCATACAATTAATACAACTCAAAATTGTAGCGCCTGTTCCATATCCTGCTTTCTTGTACTCCTCCGTATATGTGTCTAACTATTCTTCTTTCAAAGCGGCCTAACAGTTCTTCTTCGCTTTTTACCATAGTCCATGTCTCTGACGCGTATGTCAGGAGAGGTTTAATAAGAGTTTCATATATTAGTATCTTGGGTTTTCTTGATTAGTCTCTGATTAGTCTCTTGGTGATGTTAAGAACTGCTTTATCCAAAGTAAGCTCTGTTCGCCCGGTATATTCTTCTCTTAATTTCTACGCTTACTAGGTTGCTGTTATTTAGTTGTGTTCCAAGATATATAAACTCCGAGACCTCTTCGAATGTGTTTGCACTTCGAATGAAAATGTATTTTGTTTTGGATACGTTGACCTGCAGTCCCATTGTCTTCGATGCTTTTTCTAATGTTTCAAAAGCCTGTATCAGGTCTCTTTTTGTCCGTGTTACTATGCCAATGTCATCTGCGTAGGCCAATATCTGTACACTTCTATTGATGATCGTACCTCTGGTTGTTATGCCCGATTTCTCTATGGCTCTTTCTAACGCGATGTTAAACAATAGGCACGATACACTGTCTCCCTGGCGTAATCCAGTATGTGTTTGAAAAGACCTTAACACTCTGTTTTGTACTTTGACTTTGCACTCAACTTTCGAAAGAGTTGCCTTTACCAATGTTATTAGATGCGACGGAATATCTAGTTCTCCCATGGTATTATAAAGTGAGCTTCTGTCTACACCGTCATAAGCGCTTTTAAAATCTATGAAGAGGTGGTAGCTATCAATTCCATATTCATATGTCTTTTCTAAGGTTTGTCTGAGAAGGAAAGCCTATTTGCCTATTTTTTCCTCAGTATATACTAGTAAACGATCATAAAGTATATAAGCCAGTACTTTGTAAGCCGTATTTAGGAGGGTAATGCCTCGATAGTTGTCACATATCAGTGGATCCCCTTTCTTGTGAATAGGTGTTATAATAGCTACATTCCAACTGTCTGGGAGTTTTCCTTCTCTCCAAATGGATGCAACAAGTTTTATTATGTATTTTTTAGGGAATTTGCTCCATACTTGAACAGCTCAGGGAGTATACCATCTTCTCCAGGGGATTTGTTGTTTTTTAACCTTTTTATTGACTTGGCAACTTCTTCTGTTGGTATATTATTTTTCTCCCTCTCATCGTCACGTCTCCACTGTGGTTATTTATGTCAGTTACTTCTTGGTTGCCTATAATCATTTCTCAGCAAAATTCTTCGCCCATCTCTCCACTATTTGATCCGTCTTCCTTCCTTTTTATTATGGTTATTCTAGGTTTAAATTCTTTTCTGTTGTGAGCCTTTCTAGTTCCTGTAGCTGGTTTTCTAAATGTCGTTTTTTCTTTTGTTTAAGTATCTTTTTCTCTGCTTGTCTCATCTGTTTGTACTCATCTTGATTTTGTCTTGTCCTTCTGTTTTGGAGTTTCCCATACGCCTGATTCTTTTTTTTTTGAGTTGCCTGTGCGCATTCCGCATCATACAATTCTATCCCCTTCCTTTTTTGTTTCTTCTTTCCTACAACTGTCGTTGCTACTTATGTTCTTGTTACTATTTATGTTTTCAACAGTACTACTCATTTGGTCTTTTAGTTTTTCTTTAAGTTTGTGTTCAAATTTTCTAACTATCTCAGGGTTTCGTAGTCTATTCATCTCGAATTTATCTTCTTTGCTTCCTTTACCTTTTTTGCGTTAGAAATTCGTGCCCCTAGTTTAGCCTGGACCAGGTAGTGATCGGAGTCAATGTTTGCTCCACGTCTGGTACGTACATTCATAACATCGCTGTAATATCTTGCGTTCACAACTACATGGTAATTTGATTGATTGTGTTACCGTCTGGGCTAACCCAAGTGCCTTTGTGTATATTTTTACGCTCAAAGCATGTGCTTGCTATCACCATATTCATTGAATGGCATATCACGTAAGCCCAAAGAATAACATAAAAATTATTTATTGTGATCGTGACCCAAAAAAAACATTCAAAAAGGAACATGAAGATTCTAGAATGGAGTCACAATGAATATGATGGTTCATGCTATTATTGACTCAAGATATCAATCAGACTTTTACACTACCTGGTGAAAAGTATCATAGACAAAATTTCAAACATCATAGACATAAAAAAATGCAATATCTAGTATGAGAACCTAACAATAAATGATGCAGAAAGATAAGAGGAATAATACAAAATATAAAGAAATTTTAAACAGAACGCCCGACAACCGAAAAAAACATGAAGATATGAATAAAGAATGTTAAGAATAAAAATAATGAAAGCAAAGCAACTTCTTAATAAAAAGGAAAATCGCAGAGGTTTATTGTATAACACAAGATATCAATCAGACTTTTACACTACCTGGTGAAAAGTATCATAGACAAAATTTCAAACATCATAGACATAAAAAAATGCAATATCTAGTATGAGAACCTAACAATAAATGATGCAGAAAGATAAGAGGAATAATACAAAATATAAAGAAATTTTAAACAGAACGCCCGACAACCGAAAAAAACATGAAGATATGAATAAAGAATGTTAAGAATAAAAATAATGAAAGCAAAGCAACTTCTTAATAAAAAGGAAAATCGCAGAGGTTTATTGTATAACACAGTTTAAAAATTGTAGAGTGAAGTAAAAAACTTCTCGCGTGAAATGGTAAATACTTAAATTTTTAACACAAATTGAACTATCCAAACGGGTTAAAATTTCCGAACGTTTTCGGTCTATCAGACTCAGATCATCATCAGTGAAAACATCATTTGTAATTGAAACTATCCACTTAGTAAGGTATAATAACACTTCGCTTACATATTAAATTTGTTAAATGTTAAAATTAATTAGTCCATAAAATTTCGCTCTAAGACAACATATTGATCCTTACTTGAAATGAGGATTAAGTGAGCGCACTGATAAAGATACCAGTCAAATGTTGGCTGGTAAATATAGTAGATGTTAAAGTTTCAATTCTGATTTAAATCAGAATACCAGAGAATCAGTAATATCCCCCACAACTACCGATAGAGCTCCAGTAAATATGACAATGAGAATGTCTAGGAATAAAGAATATTTTTAACAATCACTAAATCATTGAATAAACCAACATAAAAGGGAAAGTAATCGGTGAAATTCGCAGGTGGACATTCCTCATATAACGAATAGATCATAAAAAAACCTTTTTCGTGGTCGGGTTGCACAAGGTGGTCTAATTAGAACTAAAACGAAAACCTCAACTAGCATTACCAAAGTAATCGTATCAATATTACAGATACAAAACCAAGTACAAATGGGATATACACAGATTTTTGTTGACATACCTTTTATTAGAGTTTTAAACCTTTTTCATATTAACAATCTATTTCTGGAAATCATTGGCTATTTAAATTTGTAAAAACATGCATTAACACCGCAACATTCAAATGCTGTTAGTTGTTAATCAAAATATTAAAAATCGATACGTACCTCCGGTTTTAAGAGTTCGCTACTCTCAAGTACTAATAAGAAAAATAATAAATATAAAATTACGGGATAGATATAAAAAGTAATTTCTCTTTCAAAAAAGTACAATAAACTTCTATCGTCGGAGTCCACGGTCAATGGTGTATTCTTATTAATGGTAGATGTGCTATTATGACTAATAATTGGCAGGGTTACATTAAAAGTCTCGGTACTATTACTATGTAGTGTTCCTAATGTTTTTGTTGTTGTAACAAAAGGTGCCAAGTCGAAATATCTAAAAGAAATTACCTATATAACTTTTAAAAAGTAACCACTTGGTAAAAGTAATAAAAGGAAATAAACCAGAATTTTAATTGATAAATTATGTTTGACAGAAAAAATGCGAAAATTTTCGAGGTGAAAATCGAAACGTCAAATATACCGTATTTTCAATTAAAATTGTGGTTTATTGCCATTAAATAAAGTACTTAAGTTTTAAACATACTTCGCTCCGTGTAGGATAATGCTTTCCACGATACTGTTAAATATTTTTTTTTGTTTTCTTTGGTGAGAGTGTTGTTCCATATCAACCTATGAAGAGCTTTTGTAGTTTCCTTTCCCCGAGCTAGTTTCATTTTTATATCTCATAGGCATGTAGCATCTCTATGTACTACCGAACCTAAATACTTAAAAGTCTGGCAACTTTTGACGAACTTGTCTTCTAAGCGCAAGTTTAGATCTACAATCTTTCCTTTTATACACAGGTATACAACATTGTGGAATGTTACTGTTAATGTTATTTCATTTGGTGTTCTTACCTTGTATAATGCTTTAATTTTTTATTTTTTTCCAAGCTTCCGTTAACCCATTATAGCCAATAGAGTCAGAGTCAGACAGGGTTGTATACTATCCCCACTGTTATTTAATTTATATTCAGATAGAATATTTAAAGAAGTGCTGCATAATTTGGAATGGGGCGTGAAAGTTAATGGAATTCTGATAAATACATCAGATATGCAGACAATACAGTTATTTTAAGTGATGACATGTATGAATTACAATGCCTTTTTAAACGCATTGATACAGTGGGTAGAGAGTTTGGCCTAAACATAAACTGTTCAAAAACAAAACACATGGTGTTTATCCGTTTAGGCACATCAAGATGCACGATTATATGTTGATGGTCATATAATTCCAAGAGTGTCCAGTTTTAAATATCTTGGTTGCCATATTACTGAACAACTAGATCCAGATCAAGAGATAAAATGTAGAAACGAGATAGTCCGCACGACATTTTTAAAAATGAGGTCATTCTTCTGTAATGATAACTTGAAACTTCAACTTCGAAAGCGTATGGTTAAATGCTACATTTGGTCAGTCCTCTTATACGGTGTCGAAGCATGGACATTAAAAATATCCACCATTAATCGTCTGGAGGCCTTTGAAATGTGGCTGCACAGACGTATACTAAAAATTCCATGGGCGGCTATGCTGACAAATGTGGCAGTCCTTGAGAGAGCAAATGCTGCTCGCGAGCTGCTTGATAACATCAAATGTAGAAAGATGGCCTATTTTGGATACGTACTAAGGGGATACCGATATAATATTCTTCAACTTATTATGATGGGTAAAATCGAAGGACGCAGAGGAATTGGTAGAAAGCAGGCCTCTTGGTTGAAGAATATCAGAGAGTGGACAGGAATAAAGAAAGCTGAGCAACTCTTTAGAATAGCTCGAGACAGAGACAGTTTCGGCATGTTAATCGCCAACGTCAAGGGGACTTGATAGGGCACGTTAAGAAGAAGATATATCTACACGTTCTCTCCCTGTGTTGGTTCTTCAATAATCGTACAGTTTGCTTCAGTTGTTGCCCGCGGTTAACGTATCCATATCGTGTTCTTGGGGGTGAATCCGTGATTTTGTGAGTTGTTTTATCCTTCAACCCTTATGGAATGAATCTTTCTTGTCTTGATTTCTCCAGATATTTATTCTTGTGTTGTTCCATACCAAGTGCTAGTTTTGCTGCCTTAGTTAATATTTCTTTTAGATGTTAGCTGTTAACCAATAGTTATTTATCTTCATTAGAGATTATAAAATCAGGATTTCATTTTATTATAGATATGGTGTTAACTAATCGTTATTGATCTACATCGGAGATTATAAAATCAGGATATTTCAAAATAAGTTTTACCGTAATAAATACAGTAGACATATTAAATTAATTAAAACATTAATTAAACATTTTTCATACCTCGCATAGGGACCATCTTCTGGAAGGTAAGTTTGAATAAACTTAAAATTAATTATGTATAAAGCACACAGGTGGAGAATAACGAAAGGTATAAGACATCGCAGAACAATAGCAAATCCTCGTTTCAATTGTTTATAGCACGCCCACCATGTCGCCATTGCTAAAAATAGCAAATAATATATTCCTCCTTCTACTGATGGTCTTAAAATTCCTGCTAAGCATAACATTATCAATGTTACATAGCGACCTGAAACAAAAACAATAATCAAAAATAGATTTATGGTACAAAACAGATGAATTAAAGTAAAATCTAAAAAAATAACTAACGGCTATAGTGGGATAAGATGGTAAAATTTGCACTCTGCTGGATTCATTTTTGGGATTGGGCACTGGAAAGTGCATATCGCCAATCTTACGTGAAAACTGCTTCATTTTTCTTAAAAACCGGTTTTTAATGCCATCTTGTAGAGAAATTGTCAATCCAGATATTCCAAATTAAATAATGTTTATAAATGTTTCAGATGTCGCCAAAAACAGTAGTATGTAGAGCGCACAAGCCCTTTTATTATCTGAGCAATATCACTTGAAATGAGGAATATAAAGATTTCTAAATATTTTGGTTCATAATACTAAATATACGGGGCGAACACTAAAATATTTGCACAAATACTAGTTGCAATAATAAAATGAAAACATATTTTTGGGAAAATCTCAGAAATAAGATTTTTGTATATGTAGGTCATCTTATCTGGCATATTAAAACGTTTGCCGCGTAATTTGTTTGTTATTGTCGGGAACACAAAGAAATCACACGGTGCCAAGTCAGGACTATATGTAGGATAGTCCACCCAATCCATGTTTTGTAACCTTTTCATAATAGGATGTTGAGAGGATTCTAATTGGTTTGCGGAGTTCATCCATCACTTTTGGCACACAAATATTTGTATACCATTTAACATTGACGGTTCTACCATTTTATACCAAAATCGTGGTAGCATGTCCTTTTTTCCAAAAAAAAACTAGCGACTTATTTGTTTGTTAAAACTGTGAGCATTTTTTATATTATTTATATAGAATATATCATTTTTCATTACCAACCACGATTTTTCAAAACGAAATTTGAGCTGTCTTAGTTGAATAATTTGAGTATGGATCGGCACCAATCAGAACGTTCCCTCTTATGAAAAGAAGTCAAATTATGAGGAATACAACAACTGTACATCTTTCTCACTGTCACATGGTCATGAAAAATTGTTTATATTCGATTCTTGCCTATCCCCAATGGTGTACAAATCTCATAAAGGTAACATGTCGATCTGATCTAATCATGCAGCGCATAGCTTCAATGTTTTCCGGGACAACAGATGTCGCCGACGGCCTTCACGGAATTCATCATTGAGGCTGATAGGTCTGTGAGCAGTTGATGCTTCTGGTGATTTATCACAATAAACACGACGAAGTCTATCGGCGCATTGTTGTTTATTTAAAGCCAACTTTAAAATCACATAAAATCGTATCACGAAAACTTTCGCGAGATTTCCATTTTTTACGAAATTGATTGTTTTGAAAGTTTGTTGCTGCTAAACAAAGAATGTTGTTTATCATAAGAAATGTCAAAATGTATGAAAATCATATTTAGAAGCCAAATAACTTTCATTAGACGGCTCTCTGCAGAAATTTTGGTGTACGCTTTGTTAAAATTAGAATTAAATCACATATCTCACCTACTGCCACGAAGTATTGTGTATAGTCTGTCTTTGGTTGAGTTTTTACGGTGATATCAACTGTTCCGGTTTCACTTTGTACAACTACTGCTTCTACAGGATTTATTTTTCTCAAAGCAAAGAAAACAGCCAACAGAGTGATCATCATTAGAAAATCTGGTCCAATCCATACTATAATATAAGATACAGTAAGGTTATTTAACTTAACTAATCCTATATAAAATAGAATGTCTTCTATCGTCGGACTGTCCTGAAAAATAAAGATCAGTATGTTTATTATTAAAAATAGATAGAATTAATAATAAATAATGATATTAAGATTTAATTAAAAAATTAAATTAAAAATCCAAATGGATTATAATAAAGTTTAGAACTTTTCTGACTAATCAGCCCATCTTTAGTGAACTTATGGAGTACTTGCTTTAGTATCCGCAAAACCAAACAGTTGTTGTGGTTAAATTGGAAATTACATACAAAAAAGTATCAAATAATCAGCAAAATGCCGATTATGAAGCATTTCCACACATATTACGAAAAAGACTTTTAACAAGTACTATACTGAGGCAGTACAAGTAATAGATGATCACGATCAGTGGAGAAATATCATGAATCAAACTATTCGAGCTGCTGAAGTTGAATGATGAACCACAAAATATCTGCCAATATGTTAATGACTATGATGATGAATTGGATAACTAACCAGGAACCATATGTCCCCACTGGAAGTAAAATTTTGTACATCCGCAAGTATAGGAGTTTGTCAACTAATCAAGTTAAAGTTAAAACACTAAGACAACAGTAACAACTATAAAATTTATTATAAAATATGTCTTAATATTGTTCTGAAGCTATTTTCTTGTGGCATCTTAAAGCAATTACTATTTATTGGGAATAAGTTAAGGAACAATTGAAGTTTAAAATAAGTTCATTGACGTTTCCATTTCCACTTCGGAAATTGTTCTCAAAATACAAACATTAATGTATTAATGTTTGTTTGTATTTTGAGAACGATTTCCGAAGTAGAAATAGAAACATAAATAAACTTATTTTAATTAATTAAAATTTTTTTTAATCTAAAATAGTAATTACTTTAAAATATGTTTTAACTGATGTTACTGATTAATGGATATATACTAAGAATATGAAGACCACTTCCTTTATATAAATAGAGTTTTACTTACATCTAAAAATTGGGCGTATGGTTTTGCTACAACTAAGGCAATTTGAAATGCCGTTTGTACTAGCGTTAACAAGCCTGTGATGCCCAGTGTGACTTTGAGAAATATTCCCGTCGAGCCTGTTAAAGTGGTCGATGATGGCACTGGAAGAAATGGTATCAGGAACATGTATAGCAGGTATATGAATGAAAACAGGCATGGCCGAAACAGTATACCTAAAAGAGAAAGAATTGCTATTAGTTTTTTGTATATTTCAAAAATATAAGTAAAATAAATATTTCGTAATAAAAACCATTCTAATTCTTATATATTTATTTTTAAATAGTTGTATGAGGTGATTATAACGAACTTTATCAAAGGCCTTAATAATAAGACCAAATAATCTTGTGGGTCTATAGAATTCCTAAACCCAAACTGAGATTCAATAACATATCATTTTAGCTTCCTCAAAATGTTTAAATCTATTTGGCTCCTTATTTACCGTTTGGCTCATTAGAGTATCCGGTGGTTATTACATTCCTATGCTTTTTTTCTATAATTCCTATAATTTTTTATTGTACATATCCGGTTTTTACACATTATTATTTTATGATTATTTATTATGATACACACAATACAACACAAAATACAAAAGATAAAATAGGAGGATCGCCTTCTGCAATTCGCCATGTAAATAAGGAATCATAAAATATCTTGGATCCAGGAATGTTCTGATCCAAGTAACTCTGCTTGAGTATAGGCCAAGTTGACATGTAGTGACTCTACTTTGGTGCGTGTAGACACATCAAATTTATGGTCAAAAATTCCATTAATAAATTTGATGACCCTTTGCCTGAGATTTACAAGAAAAAAGCATTAACTTGATGATAGAAAAAGAAACTTTTTGTTCTTTGGGAATATGCCTACCCCGCGATCCTTGTAATAAAACATTTCTTTTGTAATATCTAGTCCACTCGGACTTTGATAATACTATTATCATTCTCGATCAGATGTGAAATTTCTTTTAGTACTAGCAGTTATAATGAGTTCTACATACTCTTTTAATGTGTAAATTCTATCAGCCTTTCCTATTGTTCTCTTTGCTACAGCAAAGTTACGGTCACAAGGCATACATATATGCTTATAGTGTTAACATTTTTAAAAATAAGCTCGATAGCTCTTATATTTCCTTATAAATACAATATTTAAATCTGAGGAAGTAAGAAATTCTTGCAATGGCATGAAGAGATATCACGATGGAATAAACTGTTATAATAATAATTAATTCCCAAATAAATAATGAAATCAGCACTCAGAGATCTTTTGGAGCTCACATTAGCAATTAATATTTAATAATTATATACCTATATTTATTTTTATTCATATTAACCATTTTTTATATCAAAATTGTGATTTATTAAAAATGCTGAGAATTTACATAGTGTACTTAGCAAAAAATGTCTAATTGCAACTGAGGTGATTAGTCTGCATTTGAATTCAAGGAAATTAAAAATTTTGTGTTTCACTAATCACGTATTCGTATCTCGTTTCCGTTTGCTAATTTTGGATTTTTAAATCTGGTGTTAATTACACATTTACATTGAGATTATTTCTAATCATAATAAAATTAGTGATTTTAATACAAATTCTATAATTCTAAAGTCTCTTTTTAATTAAGTATGATTAATAGACTATAAAACATGGTTACAGCAAATACGAACTAAAATATTATTCCTTCTTTGTTTGATCAATGGAGGCACTAACTATTATAGATATATGTAAATATATAGATAGAAATTTTAGTAATGTCTTCCTAGTCCAAAATTTACATTAAGCAAATTTTTTAAATTTAATATATATAACAAAAGATTTTAAAATGCAAAAAAGATACACATGCCTTTCATATAACTTGCGAAAGGTGCATTGACACTGAAAAAGTAGTTTTCAGTGTTTTGATATTCAATAACATCAAGCTAACTCAAATCAGACTTGATTTAAAAACTATTCTATAGACGAAGAAAAACATCCTGGCTTGCTAACCTGAGAGCATGGTATAGAAAGACCTCAACACAGCTATTTCGTATAGCAACCAACAAAGACATCATAGCCATAATGATCGCCAACTTTTAGAACGGACAGGCACCCTAAGAAGAAATCCGAAATAACTCTTTAGAATAGCTACGTCTACGAAAGTTGTAATGACCATGTTGATTGCATTGCACTGAAAGAACGTTGAAGAGGTTTCTTAAGCTGTTTCGGTGAAAACAAAATTACTTACTGTAAATTAAAAAAACTACATACCCATAAAATATGCATATATTTCAGTTTTTATATTATGTAAAGTGAAAAATTAAATCTTGTGTGTATTGGTGTTACCGGATAATTACGCCCATCGAGCAACATCCATCATTCGGGCCAGAGGCCCTCTGGCTGGGTTATGTTGCTCTCAGGGCGTAATTAGCTTAATTAATGCAACACACTTGATGCATAAATAACTTAAACCATTGTTTTTTAATTGATAATGAATCGACATGATAATGAATGAATATGACAAGGCGGGCGAACATTTGTACAATGATAGCTTAAACCTAGCAAAATTTTGGTGGTTATTTATCTCATGAAAGTGATTACGCAAAAAATCTCATGGGAATATTTTTCCGAACGAACCCGAGCTTTTCGCCTTGTCTATTTTGCTATTTGTCGATATCGATAACAGTAACTTTTTTAAATAGATTCTGAGACTGTTTTCTTGTAGCGTATTATTTGAGATTAATTGATTATAATGAGAATTCAATTATAAGATCATTCATAATTCTTATTTCAGAATTCTTTGAAAACAATTTCAGGAACTTGTTTCAGCTAAAAGTATGTTTTTGATTCCCTTCCTAAATAATATTATTTTTTTTCTCACTGATGATTAGTTCTTCGTTTAGGATTAGAACTTTATTTTTGAATCTCTATTGTTTATCCCATTTCTCCTCTTGATTTTAGCTATTGAATTGCTAAACCTATTTGGCAAATATTTTCACGCATGTAAAATTTTCTAGTTGTAAAATATTACCAAGTCAAGTATTGATACATTATGATGTAGATGGATTGATTTTATTCAATATTCTACTCATAAGTTGCGAGCTCTTATCTGTTCATTTTATGCTGCGACATTTCCTCTTAACCATTAAGGTGTGTTTCCGCTGGTGGAAAATGGGATGGCACGATGAGGATTCCGGTTGTCGTGACCAACCCCTTTTGCCTTTTGATATTCAGTGGCGTTGGTAATGTGTAAATTATGTAAACGAAGATAATTTAATTATTAAATGGAGTACACAACTAAATTTGTTTAAACTATGTTTTTTCTACTCACAATTTTATTTTATTTTTCGAAAAACAACCTACAAGAGACAAATAATCTTTTTTGAAAACGATTTCGGGAGTGGAAATCGATACGTCAAATCTTAATTAGTTAAAAATGTAATTTTCATTACAATCAATTGTGGTTTAATCCCATATATAAATAATACTTAATTTAAACATGAAACAAAAAAAAAAACATTTTAAGAACCTTTTCGTTTATTTTATTTTCATGAATCACCAATCCTCAATTAATTTTTCGCATTTAAATATAAAGATCCGCCGTACTTCTTGAGTTGAAATTGAAAGTGCTTTTGATGCAGTTTCCCAAACCTCTTCGTCAGTATAACCATTAGACCCAACATGATTGTCATACTATTGTTTTTTTATTGCCCATATATGCATTCATCTGTCAACAATTTTTTAACTTTATCTACATTCCAGTAATTTGTGTATTATTTCGGAATAATAAGGCACATTGTCTAAAACAATTAGGCTGAGCTTACTTAATCCGGGGCGAAGTTTTTCACGCAACCATTTTACAAACATTTCCTTAATTATATTGTAACGGTTTGTTGTCTGTTTTTATTTAGACAAAATATTAAATCAGCACCTTAATGTTGACCATTATACCATTATTCTCTTGGTTGCACCCTTAGATATGATCGATGGTTCATTTAAATTTCATAACTGTTTATTAAAACACAGCAACAGATGGGCCGGGCACATAATACGAATGCTGATAACATGATTGCTAAAAAGCTATGACAGGAACACCTATAAGAAGAAGCATAGGCCGACTGCGAATTAGATGGTTAGATGGAGTTGAGACCGACTTAGGGATACTAGAGATCAGAAGATACACGTTGCCAGAAACCGAACAGAATGGCGACTAATCTTAGAGCAGGTCAAGATCCACAGATGATTGTCTAGCCAAAGATGATGCTGATGATGAAATGTTCAGTTAGTCGACGGATAAAAATTCGAATTCGGTGATAGTGAAATCCAGTCGGTCGATATGAGTACTAGGTCAGAGATATGGTTTCACGTCTCGATAAACCTAGTCCATTGAATTCGAAATATGTTAAAACACTCGAAAACAAACGGGAAAGGAATAAAGAAGAGAAACATTTCGACTACACATCAATAATATCCACTATAAAATCCAGTTTACTATGGAACTGAAAGAAAACGAAAAACTACCTTTTGTAATTGTGTTAATAATAAAGAAGGAAGGCGGACACATATGACATACAGTATACCGAACAGCTACACATGCCGACAAATATCTACATGCAGATTCACATCACCATCTTGCACAATAACATTCAGTCATTAAAACCTTGATGACAAGATCAGAAGGATTGAAAGACGAAGAACATCAAAATAAAGAAATGCATAATGTGAAAGCAGCACTAAGGAAAAGCGGCTTCTCAACATATACCATTGAAAAGGCTCATAATGTTCAACAAAGAATTAAGGACACAACAAAATACGTAAAACAAATTGCAAAAACCATTCTACCATATGTAAAGGGTACAACAGAAAAAATAGGGAGAGTGCTAAGAAAACACAAAATAGAAACGATATTCAATACCGACAGAAAAATCTCAACTGTTTTATCATCCACCAAAACAAAAATATCGTCAGAAAATCAAGGAGTATACGAAATTACATGTGGGCACTGTGACAAACCGTACATCGGACAGATCAACAGAAGAATCAATGTTAGAGGAGAAGAACATCGAAATGCCATCGAAAGGAGAGAAAAAAAACGTCGTCCCTTGCACATGTCTCAAACACAGGACATACAATAAACCTGAACCAAACTACGTTACTGTCTAACATTAAAATTAAAAGAAAACGCGAAATCAAAGAATTAATAGAA